AAAGGCCATTTACGGGCTTCACTTTCTCACGGTCCCACTCTGGAAGGAGTTACACAGCCCGTGCAGGTCCTCCCATTGTTTCAAGTGAAGGGAACATCAGCTGGTTTTGCTATTGTGAGCAGGGGCTAATTGGTTCTGTTCACTTCAATGGCTGGTTTGCGAGCCCAGGCACCCACGCTGGACAATGGGACAGCGGCCGGAATCCGTGATCTCCGTTAGACATGGAGCATTTCGGCCACTTCTGAGGGACTTGGCAAGAAAACTCCTTGTTTCTTTTTCCACACAATAAAAAAAAGCAGAAGATAATTAGGTCATTCAGAATGGATAATGATTATCCGTGGTTTGGGAGGAATTTCCTTTTGACAAAGACTCCTCTACATCTGTAGTACAAACTGATTTCACTGGAAGCTTGCTATGAGCCAGGGGAAGCAAGCTTCCCAGGGGAACTTCAGGGTGTGAAGCACTTGTTAGTGCCAGATACACACAAGGATACATGCAGGTTACTCCTAGCAAGCCACACTGCTAAAGAAAATGGGAACATTTCTGCCACTTGAGGAGATCACAGTATCAAGGTACAGAAACATATAGTCCTAAAAGAACGGATTTCTTTAGTGTTTTAGGGTTTTGTTTTGATAATAGGCTCTTCACAGAAGTCAACCTGAGTAGGTCTGGATATTTAGTCTGACAATTGTTTGCCACAATTGGGTTACTTGACTTTGAACTTCATTCATTACATGCAGGGGAGGGCATAAAGACACTTTTCCAAACAGAGATGGCTTGCCTTGTGGATGACTGACCTGGTCTCCCTAAATTTCAACACACATATATTTCTCCTACTGTCAGGTCATTTTTTAATTTGAATCCCAAGTATTCTTCCCTTTTTTTTTTTTTTCAAACCAAAATATCTGGACTAACAAAGGCATTTAGAAAAAAATGTGCTTTATGTAACTTGCAAGAAAGATGGCATTTCAGAAACTAGCATGAATTTTACAGATTCATCTGAAATGGCCAAATTCGAGCACAACTGTTCTTCATGTCTACTTGTTGCCACTAGAGTGGCCCCAGTAATAACTACAAGGAAGAAAATTAAAACCAGAAAAAAAGCCATATGTGCCTTTTGTCCCATATTATGCCTGTGGCTTAATTATAGAGACTCATTGTGTGCTTAACTAAAAAGCAATAAAGGCACTGCAAGAAGTGCCATTAGTGAGTCAGCATCACCCCCTGAAGATCCGCTTAGTTTCTGGAATCTTTCTGGTGGAAACCCCTTTAATTTCTTATGTTCAATCCCTATCCAAGTCTCCAGTTTGTTGGCACTGGTACAAATAGCTACCAAAGGGTGAAGACAGGTAATAAGCAAGATCACAATCAACTCCTACCACTTCAGCAGTGTTTGTCCATCATGCAGAGGGTAAACTTGATGAGAGGGTGTTGCCTTCTCTTCACGGGAGATTTGAAAGTTGGGAATGGTCCACCACGGGATGAAGGCACGGGGTGCACAAATGAAAAGCATGAAAGCACATGGTGGAAACATGCAAGATGGGGGTGATGCAGAGGAGCTCTAAGTTGTGTTTCAAAAGTGCATTGTGAACACAGGAAGCAGTAAGCTTATCAAAGATCTTTACCTTGCCTGCAGTATCAAATGTTATGTTCACGGGGAGACCAGACAAACAAATTGGCAGGATATGTCAATAGAGTCTAGACTGGAAAAGGTCTCCTGAGAAATCAATATCCAAATCTTTAATCTGCCATGTTTTATATACTTTTATCTGCAACAGTGCAGTTTTTCATACATCCCTACTTTAAGAAAAATGAAGTTAAATGCTGTTGGGAAAAAAAAAAAAGAAAAGGAAATAAAGTGTTCTTCTTTTTCTCTAACTGCCCATTTTCCCAAATGCAACTTGAAGCCTCATCCAGGGAAATATTTACATATGTGCTTGTGTGATTCTGACTGCCCCCACACTTCCTGTACTCACTGGAGCTCATCTGATGCTTTAAATTAGGTGTTGAAATGCCCTACTGAATCAAAGCCACTAATTCAGATTTCTTTGTCTTTAACATGGAGGACAAAGAGAGAGCTTCCTCCTGGAAGCCTCAAGAGCTTGTAACAAAGATGATGTGGGAAACCATGTGCCCCTGTTCTCCCGGGTGCCATCAAGAGCATTGCCAGATGTACAACGTCAGCAGTCCTGCAGACAGTGAGGGGTGACGTGGCTGTCACTCCTTCACCAGCTCAGGCATTCTCAGAGCTCTGGCTTTGCACCCTGTACTATTCTGTACCTGTGTTTGGGGACACGGACATCACACCAGGTAATGAAAATAACATGGAAAACACAGAGGGTGACTATGAATTGGAATGTGTGCACTGTACATTTTCTTCTGTATATTCTACTTGCAGAGCTGTCACTGCACGCACATTAAAAGAAGTGGGAAAAGCACAGCCCCTGAAGAGATCATTAGCATTTCTTTCCTCCCAGTATGGTCCTTCCTTTAACTCCTTTTCCCTTTCCCAGAGAAGCATACCAGATTGTTCTGGACAGGATGCCTTATCTGTGACTTACACCCAGGACACCAAGCAGCAGAGAATATCTGTGTATCAAGTTAATGCCAAAATCACTGTGATTTGATGCCACGATAAAACACAGCCCGGTGCAAGAGCACACAGGCAGTTATTTCCTGTTGCAGACAAACACCCATTGAACACTCCTCACCACATCTGGGGAACCTGTCTTACCCTATTGCTTTTTTTGTTGCTTTTCAGGATATTTCACTGAAGGAATGGGAACAAATCAACTACAAACTCGCATGGAAAAAGCACACAAATTTTAGATGTTAATCTCCCGTTATCAGGGACCAAAAGGGCAAAGGACCCTGCTCCAGTGCCACACTCAATATTCCTCACAGGTGAGCTCTTTCTACAGCCCTCACTTTCCTTTGTAAACTCTTTTCTGACAGCTGTTAGAAGATTTTAGTTTTTCCTGCATACAGTGTTTTCATCTATCCATCCCCTCTCTGCTAAAGAGAAATGATCCCTTACCTCTGTTGCTAAATTAGACAGTCCTTCCTGTGATTCTTGGAAAATTACCTTTGTGGTTTTTCCAGGAAAGCACAGTTTTCTTAGGGACATCTTTAATGTGGCCATGTGGTTCTTTCACTGCAGCACAGAATCCTTATTGAAAAGCAGGACAGTAATGGTATTTAGAATATTATGCAAAGGAAAACACATCAAAATACCTGGAATGATGGTTCATCAAAGACTTGAAATTCACAGTATTACCCAGTCCTCTTTTTGGTGACGATTTGGAGTCTTTTCCATAACTGGTGTGTTGCTGAAAGATAAGTGTGAGATAGTTAATAGGATCCTCCCAGCGCTGAGCACCTCTGACAGTTCACTGTATTTTTGGAATTCATGCTTTCAGTTTGTCATTCCCCAAACAGTCCCAGCTCTTCACCTTCTGCCACTGTTCTCTTTGGGCAGTGCTGCTCATGTTTAAAGGGCTGTGGAGACAAGAGTCAGGACCAAGCAGGCTCAGAGAGTGCAAAGCTCTGTTTTTCTGGTAGTGAAATACTGGTTTAAATACAGCCAAATCCTGTGTCTGTATCAGTACTGCATTTAAGGACAAGAATTCTTTCAAGAGCTATTTTTTTTGCCATTCCTGTGAATCTGAAGCAATAGTTTTGCTGGTTTGTGCTGTGTAATTTCAATATGCAGCAATCACTCCAAGTTGGATAATTTGGAATCCACGCACGCTTTGCAGTTCCAAGATAATTTGATCTGAATAGCAGTTTCATGAAAATGTTTTGGCAGTAATGAAAATATCCTCAACATTACTACTTGCAGCTTGAAACACCAATAATGATTTTATGTGCTGGCAATGAAAGAACATGATAGGCAGGTTAAAATCATTAATTCCTCTCTCTGAAACCGATATTTTCTCACTGAAAGGTTTGAAAACAAATCTACATTCAACAGGTTGTTTCTGTATTAATGTGATACCAGCAACATCTGTGCAGCTCCCTCTCTTCTCCTGTAGGCAAGCACTGTTCAGGGGAGCTGGAAGGAACACAGCTCCTGCTTGCTTCACCCCACAGCTGTGGGGAAAACATGGGATACGATGTTTGAAGTGCTGGATAATTGGAGGAAGTGAATGGAGAATGATAACAACAGCAATAGGGAAGTTTCTCAAGTGATTTGAGAAGGTTGTCTGGTGCAGGCTGGATGTTTGATTATCTATGCACTGGATACCCACTTCTCTCTCCTTGAATAATACATGGGAACCAGGAATTGTTTACTTTAAAATATCAAAATGAGAAATGATCATGTTCTGAAAATAAAACCTGGGAGTTTCAACTCTGCCACCTCTAGGAAAGCCCAGTGGGAGGGATAGGATTGCTACAACTAGGGGAGGCCTCCTTTTCCTTATTTGTTATCATTTAACAAAATCTGAAGGCATCTTCCTTTGCAGAGAGCAGGAAATCATTCCTGTGCAGCTCCAGGGCCACACAGAGGTTATGGTGCCCATATCACTCGTGGTGTCAAACAACAGAGGGCTTCACGATTGTACAGGGACTGTACCAGGTCACCCAACGCTGCACAAGAGAGAACAAAAGAGCACATGTACAGGGGAGTACTTCTGGCTTAGTAATAGACGAAAACACAGAGCTCTTTAGCTGCCTTCTCCCTCCAGCACTCTCAAATGCAACTGGTTGTGCTCCACATTTGGGAGTGCATGGTCAGCAGACAGAAAACTCCAGCCAAAACGTTCCTGTTAATTGGGGATTGGTTTTTGAAACCTGAACATTATGAATCAATGTTGTATTCTCAGCCTTTGCTCTAAGTCTGGTTGGAATTAGTAACCTAAAGCTTTATGGTGATAAACTCCAGTATCCTGTGGAGAAGGACCAGTGTACGTGTTGTGTACATGCTGACAAACACAACCACGCTTCTGCCTGTCACTGGGAAATAAAAAGGACTGTGCACATTATATATCTACAATGTCTGCATCTGGGAGGCAGACTGCAGCTGCCACTTCAGTCCTGGGATGAGGCAGCCTTATATAGAGTGAAATGTGGTGTCGCTGACTTCAGCAGCAGGATCCTCAATGACTTTTGTGTCCTGCTCAAGGTGCCTCGGTATTCCCCATACATGGAAGCAAGTGTGTCACCACACTGAGCATGATTTTTGCTAATCAGAGAAGATGTAATCGCTGAAGCAATTTGGAACAATATTTATGAAATGTGAATCTTGGATTTGTTTTGCACAGTCGTCTTATTTTTCTGTCCAAAGTTGCTTGTTATGCAAACTTGGAGGAGTGTTAAATATCCCATGATACTCAAAAAACAGAACTTTCCAAAGCCCCTTTTTATTGGGGTGTTTTTTTCTCTTTGGCTAAAGTCATTCTGGGCTAATACTCTTTTCCAAGTTAACCCTTCTTGATCAGTGCTTTTAATGCAGCTGCCAGAGTCGGCCGGGGAAGATGTTACGAAACCTTCTGTCCCACTGCTGCACGACCAAGGATGTTTCAATGGAAACACGGTCCTTTTGATCTCAGTTATTTGGGAGTTGGTCTTCTGCAGCTTGTATCTCAGCAGAAAACCTAACAATCTGTTTGCTCTTACTGGGATTGTCTCCTTGCCAGCACAATTACATTGGTGAGTTAGGGAATAACGAGCGAGAACAGATGAAATATTTAGATATAAATAGTCTGTTTTCATGTGCTGTGATTGTCGCTAATAAGGCAAGGACGTGTGGTTTGTGGTTCAGGGACAGGATGAGGGACCAGGACATCTGGATTCCTTTCCCAGCTTTACCACAGTGTATTGAAGAAGCCATCAAGCCTCTTTGTACCCCATCAGTTGGAAGTGGATAATAACGCTCTGGGGACTAATTCTTTAATGCTGTCATTTTCCCATGTTCTGAAGGGGAGAGCAATACAAGTGTAGGATTTTGACATACTAGAAATCAGTCAAAAAAAAATTTAAATCCACATACCTAGAAAGTTTGTGAATTAATTCATCCTGTCCTGACTTAAGGAATTTTACCCACTTGCAATTTCAAAGCAATGGCAGAAAAACAAGAGGAAGATTAAAACCAATACAGAATGTTATAACAAAATCCTGAAAGTGTGTGATCTTAAGTTTTCTGTGACAAGTTTTCCTGGGTTTTACATTTTTTACACTCCTAATAAGGAGCTGCCAATGATGTCCTTGACTAAAATGTGCTCACATTTGTTCAAAGCCTAGAAACTACTTAGTAACTCATAGGGGTTGGCATGATTTAAAAAGGCCCTACAGCACCATCTACACAAGGGATGTGTTTCCCAGCCTATGTATGTGTTGCTCACTGCAGCTGTAAGTGATAAATCACTAAACCATAGATTAAAAGCATGTAATTGGTAAAAAAGTAATTAAAGACAAGATTCATTCTACCTAGGAGTAAATAAGCACATTTGGCATGTAAATCATAGGGAAAAAAGAGAGGTTTGGGTTTTTTTTTTTACCATGCATATGGTAGTGGAGAGTCTCAAAAGCAGAGTTGCTTCTTTGGCTGAGGAGGGAAATAAGGAACTGTGCAAAGAAATTGAAAGCCTTGAGTTTAAATTACTTGAGATGAGCATATTATTTTAGGTTTTCTAGTGCCTAATTAAAACTATTTAGTAAAAACAACAGTCTGTAATGCGCTAATAATGTCCTACCTGCTGATGGTCTCTGAGTGTTACATGGCTCCATCTACATTGGAAAGTAATGGGAAAGCCAAATGGGAGCAGGTCTCCAGCTGGTCACGGGGGCCCCACATCCCTCTTGCACACCTGGTTGGGTTTTCCAGTCTGGTTTGGCTGGAGCACAGGAATTGTCCTCGTGGAGCACCTTTCTGATGCTGGATTCATCCCGAAGTCCGGCTCCTGTGCTCTGACCTGCAGTGCAAGGACAAGCACGGTAATTGGGAGAAATCAGGGAATTTGCTTCAGAAGTGCACTCTGGTCTGAACTAAAACACCAACCTCTCCCCACCCTGATTGTACTGTCATCCCTGAGTAAGGGCAGCACAAGGGCTTGGTTTGCACTTGGAATCCAGCTGGCCAGGCAAGACTGAGCACAAATTTCTCGTTGCTTTCATGAAGGCTTTGCTCTAAATCACCGCAGTTGGACAAGGCTGAAGTAGCAGCTGGAATACCTATCACGCAGTGTAATTTCAGACTCCTTTGAAAAAGGCTCATGGCTACATGTAAGAGAGACTGGCTTCAGTTTGGTGATTTTATCTCATTTGGGACCATTTTTGAGAACGCTGCAATACTGGCACAGGAGGTACAATTATAGGCAGAATTAGCTCCTCACCATCACTCTGAGCTAATACTGTGTTTCCTGGGATGCTGAGGGAAAAGCCAATCTCCTGATGCGCAAGAAACGCTCCAGGAGTCTCCAGTGATTCATTTATTTCCTAACTGACTTGTACATTAAAACACAGAATACAAGTCTATGGTTACCCAAGCCCTTCCCCTTTCCAATCCCCAGTCCTTGCCTTCACCAGGAAAAATGTGGGCACATGGCCTGCCAGGAAACCCTTAGCACACCCTAGGACCCCAGTAAGGAGATGTAGGGAGCAGCATCCCAGAGCTCACTGCTGAGCTCCCTCACCCACCTCCAGAGTCTTAGACAAGGAGTGTGCTCATGGAGACAGGGAATGGGCACCAGAAGGCTCATATTCTTTTCCATAGAAATTGCACTTACAATGATTCACATCATAGCATCTTTCACACTAACAATGCTAAAAAGACATCCCAAACCAACACACACACACACATGCATAAGCTGTAGCTGTGTAACTATGGAAGCAAAAGCCATGTACATATCTCTCTTCATGTGGGGAGGCAAAGTAGCCTGAACTACTAGAAGAATTAGCAACAGCAATTCTTTTCCTACGGCACAAACCCCACCAGCAGTAATTTCATCTCGAGCTGGAAAGCATCGCATCACATTATTTGAGCACAAAGGCCAAATTTCCCTGGTTGCCAGTTAGAGACCCCAAGCTCATACAAACACAGCAGGAGAAACCTAAAATGGTTTTGTTTCCTAGTGGTGCTAATTCCATTGTTGGAGAAAATGTAATTATATTTCTATTGACATTCTAATGATAACTTTGCAGGCCAGACTGCATTCTGCCTGTTAGGCCAGATAGAAGCAAAGCACCAGTGATGAGCTAAGGAAGAGTCCAAAGAGTTCCTTGGTGATGCTGTGACTGCAGCCCAGCTGGCAATTCCAGCAGTAAAAGCTCATTCTATGAAAAAGATAGTTATGATTTAATTGTGTCTTCACTACAGAACCTCTCCATTTTGATCACAGCATCCTCAAACAAACTCCATGTGGACTTGACAATATGCAGACTCAGCTTTTGTCCTGTATTGCTGTAAAACCTGGACTCTCAGCATAAAACCTGATAAATGGGCACAGCAGCCCCTGCACTGTGGAGATGCCCCACTGTTGGGAACAGCAATTCCTGCTGGCTGTTCCAGGCTGTTGGAATCACATACAGCAGATCCAGACTGGAGCCTGCACCATTTGACTTGTGGCTTTGCTTGCCTATTTATCAACCTCAGCTGCCCTCCCCCCCTATTAAAAGAGAGGCCCTGGAGGAAAATGGAAGTCCTTTCCTGAAATTCAAGGAGGTGGGAATTGCAGTCATTCGTTGCTGATACATTATTTTAGTACGTGGTGGCATTTCTAGGTATTTATCCTGGCTATATTAATTTAATATGTTATTGTACCTGTGCCAGCCTATCCTATTGTTTTCTCAAGCCACTGTGTCAGTGTGAGATATCACTAGTCCTGAAATCAGGATCATATCTTCATTGTATGAGTAAATACAGGAAATAGAGGAGTGCTGGCATATCTGAAACTCAGTTTTCCCTGTTAAACTGACATTTCATCACTCCTTACCACACAGAAGAGTTGGGAAGGTGACATTCAGACATGAGGGCAGCAAGAGGTACATGGGAGCCACTGACAAACTGTGGTGCACTCCTTGAACTCCTCATGTAGCTGAGAGGTTGTCAGTGGTCACAGTCCAAGCCTGGAGCACAGATTTGGCTGAGCTTATGGTTTTTTTTCCATTTTTATCAATATTAAAAATATGTCCGGCACACAGTGGCACTTCTGGCATTCACCACATAAGGGCCTTTGCAGGATTGCATTTTTATAAATGTTTCATAGTAGCCTCCAGATTTCACAAGCTTACATTGGCCTAAACAAGAGGAATTTTATGTGTTTTACCAATGTTACCTGAGGAAATACAGCTCCCAAGTGGTGATTTTTTTCTCCCCCCAAAATACAGTTATAATGGGGGCAGATGTATGTAGGCACTGGAAAGAAGTTTCTTAAAGGACACTTAAACCATTTTAGATATTTGGAGCTTTCAGCAGACTTTGTTTGGTTGTTTTACCTGGGAAGGTTTAGGTGGTCAGTTTTTCTGTATAATGCATTGAGCTGGTAATAGATGGAATAGGAATCTGACTGAATTTATAACTAGCTAAAATGCACCAATGGCAGGGTGTAACTCTTAAGTATAAAGTCACTGGCACTATTAAATTCTAAAATTAGTATATGAAATCTAATAGGAAACTAATATATGAAAACACTGAAGTTTAACATTATAGGTCACCTCTGTCTAACTTCATCTGGAATTAGTTATCTGCTTCCAGATTTAATTAGATCCATAATACGCAAAAGTACAACACAAGAGTTAGAAATGTACGTATCAATTGGAATAGAACAGCGGACAATGTAAACTTCACACAGGAGTCACAAAATCAAGCCACTTGGAGAAAAAAATATTTTGCAGGCTATTTGACAACATTTTCCCCCAATTTTTGCCTCCTTACCAGAGCTGAGTTAATTCCAACAGTGCAGCAATAGTGCAGGGCAAGGCAGAGCACTTCTGCATGGATCCTGCCCATGGATTCCAGAGTCCTGGAAACGTCACAGCCATAGAGTTCCACTTCCTTCACTGGAGGAGAGTGGAATAAACATCTGTGCATTTGGATGATCATCTCAATTAAACTGAGTATGGCAGAGCCCTCCTTTAGCAGCTTCCCTTGGCTAAAGGAAATGAGGGGGTAATTTGACATGTCTGATTACAGGATGGCTCTTCAGCAGCCAAACAGCAGGTCAAGTGTAAGAGACAAATCAGATGTATCTTGATGCAGATTGGTTTTCTCTGTTGCACCTCAGCACTTCAGAACTGCACTTTATTGTAGAAGAATTTATAGCCTGTTTATATGACATAGCACACACAAGGAGGAGAAAGCAGGGACTTTTTTCAATTACCATTAATTCTGAAATAGTCATACTCTGAAGCACAAATTGTGCTTTCCTTCTTGTTCACTTGATATTTTTGTCACGTCATCTGGTGTGCCATCTCACTCATTCAAGGACTGCTACATCACTAAGACATATAACTTAAGATTACACATGAAAAGAGGAATTATTGAATGAATATACAGGTGCTTCAGGCTCTGTCTGAGCTGGGATGGATCATTCCTTCCTTTTTCCTGAGCACTGATTTCTTTACAAAGATTTGCCGGGACAAAAACTCACCTTCTATCAAGTCCGCATCACCTTCATGCACTTTGTCAGCAGCTTTCCTCCTCTCAGCTACTACACAAATACTGAATATTGCACATTAACTGTTTATTGGGATGCTCCTTGTGTAAATATATAGGTTTGACAGAGTGGGCCGTTAGAAAAGCAAAGAGGAAAAATGGAGAATGGTTTCAGATAAGCCATGTCACAGCACAGAGCAGGTGCAAGAGTAAGAATGGTCACTCTGCACAAATGACCATGACGAGGATAACACACAAGGGGAATTAGGTCTTATATGGGTATAAATGTTGAGGTAGAGAATTAATTTATGTTTGTTTGAAAGAGCTCAGTGAGACATAAAAATGTTCAGGAATGTTTAATCCTGGATTAAATGTTTAATGTTTAATTAATGTTTAAAGGGAATGAAATTTATCAAAGCAGTTTGGAAGGATAATATATTCATTTCTGGTTCTACAGGCTAAGAAAAGCCAAAGGAGTCCAAGGCATTGACAACTTAGAAGCTGTTTTTCATGCTGCCCTCATTGCCTCAAGTTTGATGGTACACTGAAAGGCCAGTGTGGTTCTGGTGAGCCATTACTAACTTGTGATAAGCATTAGGGTTACATTTAAAGATCAGAGCACACATATATAAACCATTTTGAGTACATACGTGTCCTCTGCTTCATGTCCCCGCATGTGGGTTTATATCCCCTCATCACGGTGTTTCCTCTTCCCTTCTTTGTGACTCCAGGAGCAACTGGAATCTGTACTGAAAAGAAAATGTAGTTAATTTAATTCTTAATAATACGTAGTGGACACAATGGTGGTCAGCACTATGACTGAATCCTGAAGTCTTTGCTGAGGACTGAACTCCACCTGGGATCCATTTGGGCAGCTTTTTACTCTTCAGCAAATCTGGTCCTTTGCTGCTGTTTGCCCTCCCTTCAGTGTAACCTTTGCTACTGCATAAAAACAAAGGCATCATTTTGAAAACCTGTGTTGAAAACTCTATTTTCCAAGCATTTTACAGAGTTCATTTCAGCTCAGGGTCTAAATAAAACACTTGAAGAGTTCGATTTGAATAAAACTCACTGTACTGTAAGGTGAAGTATTGAAAGCCTGCTTCATTTCATGTCTTAGGAGTGACTGCTAGACATGATTTCTGTACAGGGGTTGTCACGGGTTAGGAGCTGCTCAACTCTACTCACATGTAACAAGTTCTTCTAAAGGTGTGTGACTATGAATAAACAAAACTGAAAGCAGGCTTCATTTTGCAAATGGTACTAAATATTAAAATGCACATTATTAGTATTAAATGCGCCTGTAAAAAAGTACCTGAGCCTATTCTATGTGCAGTAAAAAAGACTGGGGGAAAAAAGGCACCTTATTGCAAATCATAAGGTGAAAATGTGGAGAATTATTTTTCTTTTCCAAGTACCTGTACAGTTTTAGGTCTGGTTTCTAATCATTGTCATTTATATAATCCACAAGTTTCTTTTTTGATGGTCTGAAGTGCACCATTAGTTTCACATGCTCTTACACACTGGTTTGACTTAGAAGCAGTTGAGCTGTTTTGTTACAAATGGTTTTAGTTTCCAAGTAAACCAAGTGGCAAAGCAATTCAAAACATATTGAATTCATTTAAAATATTAATATCCACAATTGGCTCTAAATCAAAAAGAATTACTCTAGACTTAGTGAGTTTTATTTCTGACAGTTCTTACTTTTAAAATATAGTCAAACATATTGGATATATTCACTTACTTTAAAATAGCAAATCAGTAACACAGGGATCGAAATAATCCTTTTTTCCTCGTGTCCAAGACATTTCTTTATACAGGAGAAAATGTTTCATTTCTTTTCCCTCCAATGCAAAAAATAATCCTGTAAATGCACTTTTCATGTCTCAACGTGTGGTCACATTGTTGAACTTTTAGATTCTGCAATTAGATAAATCAGGTTTCCTAGTGAAGATCTAAAGCTGCAGGTACAATTGATCTTCACACGGGATGTGGGCAGCTCCTGCCTTGGGCCCAGGTTGTGTGCATGGACAGCTCCACCATCCCCATTGCACTGCTCATGGGAGCAGGAGATGCCTTGTTACACCATTTTTCCCTGTTTTATTAAAGGTGTCCCTTCCACATGGCATTTGCATTGTGATTATTTGGTCTCAGGCCACCAAGGAGTCAGGAGGGATAATTTCTGGTTGTAGCTGTGCTGGATGCCCTTGCCAGGCCTCACTGTTATCCCAATCCATCATCACTTTATCCTGGCATGTGCTGCAGTTACACATCTCACCTCCAGGATCTGACCCACACAGAGGCTTCTCCCACAGCCTGTGCCTGTGGATTTTCCAGGAGTGTTAATGATTTAATGTTAATGTGTATCCTCTTCAGAACGGGCTGTGGAGACTGGGGCATGAAAGGTCATTCTTGTTTAAACACATTTGTTTTGCCTTTCTTCTCAGAAACTTTAAATCAGAAGCTTCCTTACACAGAATGCCCAGACTGACAGCTTTAGGATGTGTGAGAAAGACACAGTTAATTTAGTGCAAAAGATAAGACATTTCCTTGGGGAAGCACTAATACCAGGCCTATTACCCCTCAGTGTCATTTCAGATTAGTGTTCTACAGAGAAAGGGATTCTAAATCTTTTTAATTGAAAAATGTTTGTCTTTCTCTCACTATTATAGGTTTCTGCCTAGAGGTTAAAGAGTTTTTAAATTATTTCTGAATTACATCCAATTTCTGGACAGTTTATCAAAAAAAAGGAGGATGCAGTTTGTCTTTTGCTTTGTTAATTTATGTCAGACCAGAGAAAGGAGAAATATACTCCCTTGGTGACCCAAATGAAACAGTTACATAAAAAGATGATTAGAAATACAAAGCCTGGACATATCTAATTTAAGATTTGCAGCTGTCACAGACACATCCACCACATGTGGGAATACATGCCACAATTATGCATGCAAAATGGGAGGATAATTATCCAAACATGGTGGATGAAACAATGGTTGAGACCAGAACTTTACTCGGTTTCTTCCTCCCTTTTTTCTTGCTGAAAGTTTGAAAAACATCAAAACCAATGGTTTTAACCCATGTAGGTTCATAAGCAACAAAATTACCTCAAGAAAATAAGAAAATGCAAATTCATGTTTACCTTTAGCATGTCCTGAGCAGGATCTGGACTTGCTGAGTCCTTGACCCATGAGGAGAAGATTTGCACGTGGCCTTGGACCAGCCTCCTTCTGTCCCAAAACTGAAGGATGAGATTTGAAGCCAAGTTCTGGCTTGGAGTGGAGTAGGCACTATCTGCGGGTAACTGCACAGCTCAGAGTATTTGTGTATTAGGGTGGTTTGGTTTTTTTCCCTTGAAACTCCTTCCCACCAACTGTACTGTTCTCACTTCTTTTCCTGCTTGTGTAATGGTTGTGTTTGCTCTCATCTTTACTGAAGAAAAAATATTTTCCTTTTCTAATTCAATCCTTAGCCATTGTTTTCCCAACTTCTAGTTCTCAAGAAATGTGATTTCTTTAAAAATAAAAAAAAACAAAGAAAAAGGTCTAATTAAGCCATTTATCAAACTTTTCCAAGTGGGTAGAGTGACAAATTAGCCCTATCTTCCACCAGCCATCTGATGGATGGGAAGATAAAGATGCAGAGGCTGTTGTTTTAGCTGGAAGCTCTCCACTATATCAATTGTTTGGCCCTGAGCCAAAAGACCCTACGAGATGACAAGGACAAATGATGGGTCCACCAAGTTTATGCAGCGTGAGGCCTGACATCAAAGGAATCTGTCCTTATTAGCAGTATCTCTCTGCCTTCCTCCTGGAAAAAACACTCATTTGTTTTGCAAAAATATTTTACTTAAACATTTCACTCTTTCAGTAAATGGAAAGAAAATTAGAACTGTAAATAAATTTGCTGACGAGTTCTGCTCTTCTTGACCAATATGAAGTGATTGTTACAACATTACTTTTCAGTGATGTCCACCAGGAGAGTCTAAGACATGTGAACTGCAAATAAGTTTCCCTGGGAGCCTTTACTTTTATCACTATTTGCTTGGGAATTCTTATTCCTAAGTATTCCCTCCTGGTGGTTTTAGGATACAGGGATTGGAGTGAGGTGGATATTGGGCCTGACACTGTTCTTACGTGACAAGATGACCTGCAGTGTCTAACTTACATCTTTCTCCCTTCTCCTAACATTTTTTAAATATCCACTATTTTTACATGTAGTGGAAACCCTGTGTACAAGGTGGAATACAATTACTACCTGGTTGGAGAGCAGGAAGAGAGGATATAACAGCCAGGATGACTTCCAAGAAAAGCAAAATCAACAACCAAACAACAAAACCCTGTTCTGACACCTGATTAGAGAGGTTTGACTGAAAACAAGCCATTTCTGCAGATGCTATATGTTAGCCTGAGCTACAAGTAAAATCCATATATTTTTCACTGGAAAACTATTTAAAGGTTACTCCTGATGTCTCATTACTCTTGATGTCTCATTTTTTATTACCTTTTTATCCTGTGTGGAAATAGGACAGTATTCAAGTTACTGACAGAATGAGAAACTTTCATTTTGTTTTATCAAACCCAACTGCAGCAGTTCTGCATAGCTCAGTATTCACATACCTGATCAGCTGGATTCATCCTTTCAACAGAACATTTTTACAGCACAGAATTAAGAACAATAATGCATTTAACAGCTCTAAGTCCCTAATGTAATTTTTTAGCTGCTTGTTTATAACAGGGCTGCTTAGGAGCCAGATTCTCCCTATGCCACCCCCTTGCAACACTTTGGAGGAAACTGCAAATAAACAAACAGCACTGGTTGAAGTTTTCCACTCAGGACTGCATTTTTCCAATAAAAATGAATTGTAAGTATTGTGGCAACATGCAATTAAGTGTTCAAACCTAACTGTGTCTAACTTAGGAAGGGAACTCCTTGAACAAAGAAGCTTAAATGCAATTTGGCTGGAAATTAAATGGAAAAAAAAATCAGCAGTGCAGTTGCCAATGAACCAAAGTGTTTGCTTACTTATAATTCCCAGCATGGTCATTGTCTGGCTGCCCTGGCATTCTGAGATTATTTAGAAGACAGTAATTCATTGCCTCAAGAGACAGGTAAAACAGCTCCTCTCTCAGTCAGTCAGCTTGGCTCAGGGGGGTTGTGGCTACAGCTCAATCCTATTTAGCCTTTCTTCAGTAAAATAAAGGATTATTCTTTTCTTTAAATATGGCTCCAATTTCTGAATACAGAAACTACAAGTTCCAGATTTTTCAAAGGCTCATGGATTTCTCAAACACTTTAACAAATAAAGTTTAAAAAATCTTGTTCTGTAATTTACACTTTATGACACGATTCAATGAAAGACCTTAAAATAGGGTTCACTCCAAAATAAATAATAATCAGAAACTTATTCCACCCTGCACTTGTCTTTTATTTGCCAGATGACCAATTTGCTTCACTTCCTTTCCACAACTTTGGAAAATACAGCAAGTCTGTGCATGTACAGGTCCTGCCTGGAACCAAAAACTTTAGAAGTGAACTCCGACTTAAAATATAAACTCATCTTTCATTTATGTTTTAAGATAATGCTTAATTCAGTCATGGCTGAGTGATAACTCACAAAATTTGGAATCTGGTTTTCACTTGTCTTGAGTTTTTAGTTCTTCTAAATCATATTAATATTATGTCCATTTTCAACTTGCGTTGGGAACAGCTTTGGATTTTAAGATGACTTTCACAAGAGTATTACGAGAGATTTTGCTCACTAAATGATACATGAAGAGAGTAATGATTTCAGAGCTGTGTGTCCTATTTTAGCTATTTCCACTATCAGGAAACGATGGGTTGACCTACTTGTGTGTTCCAAAAATAGTCAAAGATCTTTAAATAAAATCAATCTCATTGAGCTAAGCAGAAACAGAGAGGTGGAACATGCTCACAGCAGGACCCCGTTAGGTGCCCACCCCGGCACTGGAGCAGCAAATCCCATCACTCAGAGCACACCCACGGTGGGTGTTTCCCAACACAACCTGGGCATCATTGAGAGTCTCAAAAGCCTGTTTTAAAAACTGTCACTCAAGTTCTAGGCCAAAGAACTCCAGTGAGGATTTTGGTGGGCATCACTCCATGGGCTTGAAGATACAGACCCCAGGAAACCTGGGTACTTCCTACCAAAAAAGCCTGAACTTAGACCATTCCAGCAGCTGCAGAGCTCTGATCCTTGCTTGATTTAAAACTCAGTGTTTTGAATCTGTCACTTCTGCTCCTCTGATAACATGAGTAAACCCTTTTGGCTCTCTCTGTCATCGCAGTCATTGCTAGAATTCTGTGATTACATTTATTGTATCTCACTTATTGTGTAATATTTGCTGTTCCCCTCAGGACAGTATCAGCTGCTCTGCACTGAACTCTGGGCACCAAGCCCTGTGTGCCCCTGAGATACAGTTCACTCTTAGAATGCTCAGCTGAGAATCTCAAAGCCTTTACAGAGCGTGGTAACTTCACTAGATGGCAGTGCAGAGAAATATTACTTTATATAAATCTACTTTTAATAGGAGATGGAAACATCCCAGCAGGTACTGCAGTTTGTTAGTGTTAACCCCAGATCACAAGCCAGTAATGTGCTCACCCACACAATTGTCTGGGGGCTTCTGCCCAGTTAAATCTCCATGCCAATGTTTGGGAAAGCATGGACACTCTTTCTCCCAGCAACTGTACCATAGCCCTTCCTGAAATACCAGAGAAGAAAAGTTTCAAAAAGAAAGTTTTCAAAAGAAAACCTCCCTGAAAAGTCAGAGCCACCGTCCCCCCAAGAGTCATAACAATGATGCCATAAGCATGACGAAGAAAATGAGTGAAGGGTAAAAATGAGAAAGCAACTGGTTCAAATAATTTTGTGAAGAAAACTCTGTATTAAATAAAATACTTCACATTCCCAAGAACTCCTTATAAATACGTGTTCGTTGGGAAAATTTGATGTCCCTTATAGACAACTCAAGAAACAAAGCATAACTTTTCAGACTCCTGACAAAACTCCAAGATTAAATATTTAAGCAGCAAGTTCTGTAGCTTCTAAGGTTCAAAACCTTCAAAAATTCAGTCTTTTGAATACAGAGAACTGATGCCTGCCAGTCTTCGGAAATTAATACACCTGAACAAAACTAACAAAAAAATGGAGTGGATGATTTCAGCCAAGAGCATTAATTCAATTCAAACATTATCAGTAAAATCCTCTAGAAACAGTGGAACTGTGGCTTTATTTAGAATGTTCACAAAACACAAATTATCATTTAGCACAACAAGGAGACAAAAAAAAAGTTTGGTTTCTTCTAGCATCAGATGTAAAAAAATATTTTCTCAGGTTTGCTTCTTGCTCTGGGAGAAATATAAAGAAATCAATTCACTGCCTAAATCACACTTCCCTATGCTGTTCTTGCCTTTATCTTAACAGTGTCCAAGACCTTCCCCTCAGGGAGTGATACATTGTCCTCTGGCATCTCAGCTGCTCCCTCACCAAACTGTTTGCAATAGCAAGCAGAGATTCAGGATATTGCAAGTGCTGATAAAAAACAAACCCAGTTCTGTTGCAAGTGACTTCTTGACTTCTGCCTGCTAAGCACAATTCAAAGGCTTCAACTTTTAAAGGCATAATTCCCTATATTTATTTTTGTGCAAATATGAGCAGATGAGAAACAATTCCTTATGGCATTCATTGTGTGGGATTTTCCTTACTTTTCCTGTCCACTGGCCACTGAGAAACAGGAATATCTGGAGGTGCAAAGCCCCAGGGGTTCGTTAGTGACACAGTGGGTTGGATTCTCTGCATCTCACACATGACTCTGGTCAAACAAACACACACAATTCACAGGACTGGCAGAGAAAGTACAACTTGTTGCCTAAACCAGCCTGACAAAAAATAAACGACTGCTCCTCAAAGCATCGAGACATAGGTAAAAATAAGGAGTAGACTACGTAGATTTCTAGGGAAAAATACACTTCAAGACAGCTTGGTGGACTCCCCCAGATTTTGATACTGTGAATAAATAGCTAAAATGTGATATAATTGTGGAACTAAATACATTCAGCAGAAAGGCAAACCTGACAGAACAGTGATGCCACTTGTGCTCGCTCCAACCCCAGTTACAGGGAAGTAATTTTCTTTTCTCATTAACATGAGAGAGCTTCATGCTGGATGCTCTGGATGACATTCATATGCAATAGGACAGTCAGGTACCCTGGTAAGAAGCCAGAATTCCTCTCTAACAGCCAAGATACTGCCAAAGCAGCCCTTCTAGTTTATTTATTACACTCATCCAGTTCCTCCTTTTAAACTGTTCATTTACCCTTACCTGAGAAAGACCTCAATTGCAAAATAAAGAGAACTGTTACACCTTGTCCTTCCCCCCTTCTTCCAGGCACACTCATAAATCACAGCACCCTGGGAGCTGTGCCATCCTGTTAGTTTTAATTAAGTAGCCTTAAAGTAAGTGGCCAATCAATATTGATTCATGGGGGTCTCACTGCAATAACTCATCACAGTGTCTCGGGGCATTACTGATGTGAATATGATACCTTGGCTTGCTCTGCCCACACTCATGTCAAATGAAGATCAAGAGTGAGTTTTAAGAGCTGTTTTCTCCTCTGTAATGTACATCTGACTGAGTACAGAGCAGAATCCCTCTTCAAAACTGCACAAATATTTCCCAGTCTACTTAGTTTGCATTTAATTCCTCTGCACAGCACTGGAATTTTGTACTACCACCCAAAATGTCATGACCTGCATTGCCTGAGGTTTACAAGGAGGACTTGCATGATGGAGACTGGTTAGTCACCATCTGACCATAACCTGCACAATACTCTGCTTGCAGGGAGGACTGAAAATTGCAGTATAATAATTATTAAAATACATCATTACAATGAGATGCTCTCTTCAAAATATACCTGTGTACAATCAATTCAACGCATTATTAGTTGATTGGCACTTGCATATCAATATCTAAATTAAATTCATCTAACTCTGACAAACATGCTGTGACTTCCTAGGACTTCAAGCATGTTTCTCTCCTCTCTAAAGGAAAGTAAGGGTTTAATTGAGCTGTGTCTGTAGGTAATTTTTGCCACCACCTAGTTAGCTGATTAGGGCCATGAAGACAATAATCTATTTTAAAGCCTCTCAGTTATCAGCTGGTAGGTGTACAAGCTATTTTTAATCCCCCACCAGGCCACCCAAAAGATTGCTGAAGTTTGGAGGTCTAATTTAAAACTACTACATATTTTTACAGGAAATCATACTATGCCTTGATCAGGTTCAGAAGCTTAAATAACAGTGAAACGGAGTTGAAGACAGAGTGCCAATTTACTAACTAAACTCAAGTTTTACACATCAGTAAATCCCTGACCAAAGTGGATTATAATATAAAACCCTGACAGACACGTAGTTACAACATAAGCAGTGAAATAAGGCAGTATTTTTATTATCAATCCCAAAGCAGCTCTCTCTGAGAAACATATTTCATCTCACAGCCTCTCATTCCTGCTCAGATTGGTATTACCTTTTCTAGCTAGTGTTTTAAAATCAAATATTTGAGTTAGGGATATACAGAGCTTATTTAACTTCTCTGCTACCTTCTTCTTTCACCAGCAGTGAAAATTTGCAGTGCTGTGCTGTTTGCTGTGGGCCCTAGATGGGAGTTTTCAGCTTGCACAGTCACACTCTGTATGTTTACTATGCAAAACAGTTATAACAGTATGTGGGAATGAAAAGCCATCATTTTTGTGGAATTGAATGAATTGTATAAATTTTACTTCTGAATTGCTCTGGAAACTTGAAATTGTTACATAATTAAGAAAGCCATTCAGATGTCTTTCCAGCCTTTCATTTTCTGCCTTTGATGCATTTGCCACCGGGGCTTTCACGGAATATTCATCTTTCCATATGGTTTCATTTACATTTCTAACACAAGAGACCCAGTTTGCCATCGTGTGCACCTCAGGTCTCAATTGTGGGTCACATCTGAGGAGGGGACATGCAGCAAATGAACAATTCCAGCACCTCTGTGGTCAGCCCCGCTCAATAATTGCTGCAGTAGCTGCATTTTGCTGTACAGATGTTGGTAATTTGCTATTGAAAACCACCAGTATCAAACTGTCAGAGTCAAGAAATGGCTTTAATTATTTCCTCCCTGGAGCAGCAATAGCCATTACTTGAGCACTGCCAAAGCTGGAATGTGTTTGTGAGGGTGATTTCTCAGCACATTCAGTGCAGGAAGCCTACCTGCACTTGCCAGCTCTTTGCTCCCTCGTCCTGGAAAAACTGGGCTGGATCATCCGGAGACCACCTCTGCCAACTTTCAGGATTTTCCCCAACCACTGAAGACTAACTTTTGGTTTTCTGCTTCACTGAGTCCTGAAAACAGAAAATAAATCAGACAGAAGGCCCTTGGAAATAGCAATACGGGAAAAATATTCTCTGGAAGAGAATAATAAAATAAAAATCTCAGAAGCTACAGAAAATTTGGTGGAAAACTGTACTGATAAAGAAAGTGAAGTCAGCAAGGCCACTGCAGCACTGCCCAGATTGATATCCCTACTTGCAGCTATGGGCATAAATAAAACCATAGTCAAAACCACACAGCTTAAAAAAAATATGTAAAAATTCAAGAGCAGGTCAAAACATTTTTAACATTTTATAGCAATTTCAACATTATTCTCTGTCCTTCATCAAATAGATCCAAAACCCAGAAAAATTAAGAACTGATGTTAATGTGAACATTTCCACAGGAGCCTGCAAGGGGCTTTGGCTCATGCTTCGAAAGAAAACAAAACCCCTCCAAAATAACTTTTGTGTAGGACTGCTGATTCCTCATTCCCATGCTGTATCCATTTGGGAAGACAGTCTAAGCTCTGCACGTCCACAAGTTATCTTGTCTCTGAAGCGGGATAAGGTTTTTCTCCCTAAATAATTTGAGGGCTTTTTGTGCCTCTGACAGAGGATATTAAGAAGTGCTGATGTGAAGTTTTCCTGAAGTCCAGGGAATTTTATCTCCCAGAAGAGCAGAGAATGATGAGGGTGTTCATGCAATAGCAATGAACTGTTCCCCCTTTGAGGTGCACACTTGGGATATCTCTGCACAGGGAGATGGAGCGTGTTTTTCCACGTGCTCCCACCTTCCCTTCTGCTCACTGCACATCCCAGACCAGTCCAACATCACAAGTGTGGCACTGAAGGGCTCTGGGTTGCTCTGGAAGGATGGAAGGCTGGGAGAAGCAAAACAGGGCTTATAAAAAAAGAAGGAACACTATAAGGAAAACCAGTGTAATGAAATAGGTTGGAGTCCCTTTGGAAATACTTGACAACCTAAAAGCCTTTAAGTCTGTAAGAACTCACTTCCAAGTTGTGCAGCACGATTGCTAATAATTTACCTGATGTTTTTAAGTATATACAATAATTTATCTAATGTTTTTTAGTACCAGCAAGGAAGAGGTCAAAGAACATTTAAACTACAGCCAAATTTACTTGATTTTTTTATTCCCTTTCCTTTTTAGGTCAGCAATGACATTTAAAAATCTAGAGAAAAAAAACCAAAACAAAACAGTTCCCACTTTAAAACAAGCAGCTCAGAAAAGAGAGAGAGAAAACAGGTTTTCTTTGCACCCCAGTGAAGTCAAGACCTACAGGTTCTGTTGAGTTTCTCATTAAGAAATGATTCCAACCAAACCTGTGCATGAATATTTCTGTGTTATCACAGCAGCGATAACAAACACCACGTGTCAGCAGCAAAGGCTGATGGCCATTAATGAAGGAGATTCCAATACTGGTTAGGAGAGGCTGGTGATCAATAGCTGTTGGAGTTCTGCTGTTATCCCTCCGTGACAGCCAGGAGCATAAGTAACAAGGAGCTGTGGAATGCCGTGTGGTGTCTCTGCAGGGGCAGGAATTGCTCCGGTTCCAGAGGCACGGCCTGTGTGTGGCACATCTTTAACCACGACACTGATCTCCGCGCACAGAGTTTGGTGTCAGCCACAACTAACCCACAGCTGAAACCACTTTGGAGTTTTGTCGGGAACGACAAGATTTGATGAATGGAGATGAACGATTAAAATATTTCAGCCTTTCTAAGTCCTCACACAACGTGACGGCAAATAAGTGTTCAAAGAGATTTATTTTTGTTCCGAGCAGCTGGATATCCAGAGCCTGCCGTTCCTGAGGGAGTCCCAGAGACCTACTTGATGATGGGAGTGTTTCACAGCTGGAAGAGACTCGGATTGTTAAACAATGCCTTGAGCTGTAACATATTTTAGTGACCAGACTCCTAAAACCCCGAGGTCTCTAATTGCCTGCAGGCACCTTTGTTATCACTGGAAACCGTGAGCTCCCATCTTGTAACATGGGGCAGTGTCTCAAACACGGAATTCAATTACAAGAAAATGATTCCAGAAAACAAAGACCAACCCAAACCACCCCTTTGCACCCCATTTTTATGCTGTCAGAGGGGCAGGAGGATGAACATCTTCCTTACACAGGAAAACTGGTGTGAGAATTAATTTGTTTTCCTACCTACGGACAATATTTATTTACAAGGCAGTAACTCAATTACAAAGATTTCCATTTTGAATTTGAATAGAAATTAAACCTGGGCAATGCCAGAGGAACATTTGTGAAGTCGTGATGACAAAAGTAGAGCTTTTGTCAAGTGTTTTATGAGCCACGTGCGCATTTAAAAATCACTTTGAATCTCTCATCAAAGATTTAATTACGGGCTCTGTGGTGATCTGGATTACCAGGCCCTGATTATTTCTGCAAAACGTGCCACATTAACTTACACATGATGGAGTTGCAGATTTAAATGGCTTTAAAGTATTATAATTAAAATTAAATAACCATAAACAAAATTAATGAATAACATTTTCTGGTTCGTATCCCGAGTTTTTAGGGAATTTATTCACTAGCTGATTAGAATGCCAAAAGTAGTCATTTTCCATCATGCAATAGGAATCAAACTACACAAGGTTCCAGTACTGCCTTGAAATTAAAAAAACCCTTACGAGTGCCTCACTTTTATACAAGAAAAATACATTAATAACTTTTCTTAGAAGGCAAAAAAACCCCCAACTTCACTAAATGTGGCATCTTTCTAAAATTTCTCTAAAAATATTCCCTAAATTTCTTGTTTAGTTTGGTTTTAATTCAGTGGCAAGCCATTTTTGGGGATATTGTTCACATTAAATGCATTTGCCTGCAAAAGTATTATTTGGAAAATCTAATTTTATTCCTATTTCAAGCAGTCAGTGACAACAGTAAAATTAATCTACATAACGAATAGGTACAATTCCCTTGGAAAATTAATCTTTTTTAAGAGCCTTGTACCTAACTGCCACATGATAAAACCTGGTGTGACACTTTGGGCCAAGATGAAGCAGCGTTTTATATGACAATAATGTGTTATTCTTCCCTGTTTTGACATGTTTTAGGGCTATGCATGTTTTTGGTTAGTAATTTTCAGTGAGCATCCTGCTGTCTTGCCTCAGCACCTTGTCACAAAACAATACCAAGTTCTACTTTGACATTTTCTTCCCCAGAAATACAGATTATGGGGGATGTCTGACTTACTGTACAAAGACTGATTTGCTTACATAGTGCCAGTCGGTTTCCAGGCATCCATCACGTTTTAAAGGCAGAAAAATGCAATAGTTTTGAATTACAAAAAATGCTAATAATGACAATTTTGAAGCCATTAGTTCTCCTGGATCACTGTGCCAGGAATCAAACTCCTGGCACTGTGCATGTTCACAGGTGAAGAGAAACTGAGGGAATATGGAGAAACTTCAGCTCCAAAGGTGGGTGAGAGCAGCGTGTAAGAACCACCCAAGCAAAATAATCAAGAATCAAAAACCTTCCCAAGAGACTGACAAGGCTGCTCAAAACTGACCCCCCATCCTTTGCAAGCCCTTGACTTCCATTAAGAATAAAAACCAAAAAAGTCTCACCCTTTTGGAGGTGGAGAAATGGGGGAGCTTCTTTTCCTTGTGGGTGCCTCCCTCCTGCAAGTTCCAGCAACTGCTGGTGTTGAGGTGGCTCTTCCCCTCAAGAGGTTAAGTGGAAATAGGTGTAGATGATGATGAATTTAATTACCACCTGAAGCTCAGACAGGATCAGGCCTATAGGGAAGCAGATTTCAGTGTGTCCCCAGCTGTGGAACGAGAGACAGGTGCAAGCTAAAAAAAATGCAGGCCAGTTCTAATCACTCCTCTTCAATGCAGCTGCTTTAACAAGAGCACAGAGGGGTTTTTTTGGACCATGCTTAGAAAATGGGAATTTCCATCTTTTTGTTCTTAAAGCACTGTGCAGAAAGGTCACTAGTGCTGGCAGTGGCTAATCTGTGACATCTGAGCAGCCCCTTAATGAGGTGAATTGCCTGTATAAATAGCCCCAGTGGCACTCACAGCCCAGGATCTGCTTAGAAATCCTTTCATTCATTTCCTGTTACCGGGTTGGTCTTCCAGTGCCTCTGGATAACTTCCTGGCAGCTCAGTCAACCCCCATGTGCAGACTGGCATTTCCACAGTTGTGCCTTTGATTCGCCAGCCAGCACTTGATGCCTTCTATTGATCACATTCACCCACCTTCCTCAGCAGGAGCCGCCTGGAGACCCTTCCTGGTGCAATCTGGACTAACCCCAGGAGACCAGCAGTTGCATTAGTGCCTCCTGTCCACCATCTGCTCACTGTTCCCTTTGTATTTACCAGCCCATGGAGTCCTCACCATGTGTGGAAGGACTCTGTGCCCTTCCTCCTCTGGATGATACAAATATGTTGCTCCCTCACTTCCCAGCGTACATTTATGGCTCTTCACTCTTAAAGGATTTGCTGTTCAGTAGCGTTTGAATGACCAACAAATACTGATGCCAAAAAACCTTGAAATTGGAGCATTTTTTGGTCATTCGGCTTTAAATACAATTGTCACACACTTGAGATTTATAGTCACAAGATTCCTTTACTAAAGGCAGTTGCAGAAAGAGGTGTTTGAGCTGCAGAACCCAAAATTCACGTGGCAAACCTCAGAGCAGGGTCTTCTTCCCCACAAGGCTGTAATACCAGGATTATGAGCTCAGTTTTCCTGACACCTACAAGAGTTCTGATGAAGTGTAACTAAACTCATTGACCCCCTTGCTGGAGAACACGTACTGCCCTCAGGAGAGAGAGCCCAATGCCGGCAAGTGATGTAGCTTCTGCATCCCTGTGTATAGCTGAGACTGTACTTCAATCCAGGGAAAATCCTAGCAACTTGAAGGCAGAGGGAAGGAGATGCTCTTGGGGCTTCTCTCCTGAGTCCCAGTGCCCACCCCCAGGTAGGTCAGTGGAGGTGGAGCAGAGGCAGGACCCCAAGTGGGTGGTCCAGGCACTGTCCTTGCTCCTCCTCTGCTTCCCGGCTGTCAGTCCAACATCAGCACACCAGACAAGTCAGTGACAGAGGCAGGGCTAAGAGAGCAAAAAGGAAAATACAGCATTTTATGCCACATTTTGGACCATATAGCGATGGTGTGGAGGTGGAAAAGCGTTCATGGCCCAACCTGCCTGTACTCCATCTGTTTGCAACAAGATCCTTAGTCCCTGTGTAAGCAGAGGGAAAAGGGATGGGTTGTTGGTTTTTTTTTTTATTGCACATTCATGAAGATTTTGAAAGGAGGAAACCAAGCAAGCCAAAATTAAATGTAATTTTCTCTTTTTCCCTATAGACTCGGTCTGGATGGATGCCAAACCACATTTTGGAGGGGTGAGAAAGGCCCAACATCTGCTTCTGGTGTAACTGTTTGTATCTTCACTCTAAGAAAATTAGGTTTGAAATAATCTCAAATTGTCTGACACCTGTATCCTATTAGAAGTGACACATGGAAACACCTTCAGCGCACTGAATTTAGCACCGTGTCAACAGTTTAAAGTTAACAGGGGAACAAAAGGGTAAAACTCATTGCTTCCCAGTTCCTGCTGACACAGAGCTTGTGTCATTGCACGGGATCACACTGCAGGATTGATCCATAAATGTAATGGGGTTTGAACCAGTAATTGTAATGTGGGCTGTGTCCCTGGCTCTACTGCAATTACATTCAGTGTGCACCTCAAGGTGATTGGAGGATTTTGAGCTCAGTGCAGGCTCACCTGAGGGCTGGGTGCCAGCACGTGGGACAGGAACACAGCATGTCCAGGGACGTTTTTTCCTCAAGTTCAGCTCAAGTAACTTGTAGCTTATGGGACTAGTGAGCAGGCCACATTTGTCCCAAGAAAAGGAGACAAATTCCTGCAAGAGAAGACAAATCTTGCCTGGCACAGAGGTTTATTGGGTTTTAGAGAAAAACCAAAAGAATTCTGAAGTCACACAACTGGTTTTGCTGCATTGCACAGGAAGGCGCTGAAGGGATTGATTTTAAACTCTCTTCCCAAACCTATGTAACCTCCCACTTGCAAATTCCTCACTTTTAGGAACAGATCTGGTCGCCTTTTCCCAGATAACATTCTGACAATAAGACCCAAGTTATTCTGAGAAGGACATTTGTTAAAGTTCATAAAACTTTATGACTTCTATAAAATTTATACTACCTAAAAATACAGTATCCATTACAAAGACAAATGTCTACCCATTCATTTTTAAACATGTTCCTTTGAGAACTTTTGAGAGACTGTTTTTTAATGTTAGTCTGAGAGTAAGGGAAACTGTTTACTTTTTAAAGAGTGTTGTTTTTCAGCAGATCTGCATCTTCAAGGAGCGATGTCTGGAGTCAAGGGAACAGGACACACTGAATTTTAACATGAATTAGGGTATAGTAATGAAAAATATGCTAAAAACAGGAAAATGGCAATAATGGAAAGACAAACCAATGACAGTGATCCATTTTCTACAGAGCAGAAAGCAAGCAGGACCCAGTAACAAGAAAGCGCGTCAAGTACAAGTTTAGGGTTTTTTTAGGGACAGCCAAGTGAACTTCCTGAATAGTGTGGCACTAGTGACACTAAAGAAAGGATAATACATAATATTTTACATGCACCCATAAGCTGAAAAATATGATGGAAAACTTGCAGCACAATGAAACCTGTTTGAGGTGGAATTTATTCTAAGGGCATTTTAAAGAAATTTCAAGCCTACTTATATTTGTTATTAATATAAAGTGGAGTCCCTTCTAATTTACTGGTTAAACAAGACATACACTGCTAAGGTCAAAGTCTCCTAAAATGCTTTAAAACTAGTATTGACCATTTTCTTACCTCATGCATGAAAACTGCCTTATAACTTCATCCGTAGATGGCCCCAATGCATAAAAACACAACAGAGAAGAAGAATTTTTGTCAAGCTGAAACAAGTTGCCTCCCATTGGTACCATGTAATGCTTTCTGATTTATGGAAATGTTATTCAGTTCATCTTCCTAAAAATTCACTGGATTGGAAAAGTAAAAGGGTTGTTCACATTATACTTTCAGTGGAAAATGTTTATGACAATATGATTATGGAGAAAAGTGCAAGCAGACCAAAAACATCATAATACATAAACGGGCATTTTCAACGCTATCGATCTGACTGGTTTGTTCTGATTTGCTTTCTGAAAGGCTCAAATTAAAACAACTGATCCTATTCACTGACTCAGGAAACTCCTGGTGTTGCTCAGGGCAATGCAAGTTGAATCCCAGTTGAGTTGGAATGAGTTGATTCCCAGAGTTCATGTGGAGACTGAGCAGCTCTGCCAGCCCAGCGCGTGCTCAGTGTTCTCAGAACACACTCAGAGTGTGTTTGTCTGGCAGAAGTTACTCAGCAATTTTGAGCAGCTTGACCACAATGTGTTATCACCAACAGAGATTTTTCTTCACTGAACATGCAAATGCAACTTTTTCTGAGAAAATGTGGTCGTGTTGCTTTCAGACACAATTTGAGGGCAGATCGCTCATATGCTGACAATATGAGCAAATATTGATGTTGGTGTTGTTTGGAGAGCAGTCCCATAACATGCTGCATCTATCAAACAATTACCTTGTCAGTAGCTCTTTAAAGTCTGGAAACATGGATGTGCACAAGCAGCTCTGTTGATCCATGTCATTCCCCACACCAATAACTTGCAGCTGGAAACCAATAACCTAATTTGTACCTTCTTGGGCCACGAGATGTTCTGACAATTTATTGTGCACAGGAAATCCAGACTTTGGAAAATAGTTTTTTGCTGATTCTCTGTGCTTCTGGTAGACTTTTATTGCACTCTAAACCAGGGATTGCATCGCTTAGCCCATAATGTTGAAATTATTCTGAATTTGGTTATTGGTTTGTGCTGAAGCAGGACTGAACTTCAGTTCAGTACATATTCTTCCTGACATAGAAGGGCTAGATTTTTATTATGGTCATATAGAAAATGTTCCTCATACTCACCACAATGAAGTAATTAAATAGATGAACAAGAGAAATCCATTGGTTACATGAAACTTATTCCTTCACTTCTGTTCTTGCCTTTTTTAAATGACAACTGTGTGGAACGAGGATCCTGCTCCTCAGTAACAAAACAGCCAACATTAACTTGTCACTCTAGTAGGAAAAACAACAGCCAAAATGCTGGGAACCACATCATGTCATTTGCTCTGTTATGGAGTGTTTGGATAGAAACTGTGAAGTTGCCACTTTTTACAGCTTTTGAGGATTTATGAAGAAAACCCCCACTAGTGACTTGTCCAAATTTTGATAACAGAAAGAACAGCAGACTTAAGGGGGCATTACCTTATTTTTACAAGAGTGTAAAGGAACACAGACCCAGGGCTCTGTCAGTCCTAGTAACAGTGGGGGTTTCCAGTGTCACAGTTTCACTAAATTGAGTTTAGATGTGCTTTCCAAATGAAGCAGTTACAAAGTGCTCCAGAGCCATCCCTGCCTGCAGCAGCTTGTTGGATCCTACCTGGAGATAATGGATTGACACTGTTACTGACTTGGCCAAGAGCTCGAGGTCATTCCCCCTCCCCGTGCAGGTGATGTACAGCAGCGCTCGGCTCCGCTGATGGGCTCATCCTTCTCGGAGGCACTGACCAATGTGAGCAGCTGCCTGAGGGGCTGTTTGATCTTCCCACTGCTTTGCAGGCAACACCACACTGCTCAGGGGGGAAAAAAAGAACCGAAAAAGGAAAAAGATTAGAAAAGATTTCTCAGCAAACGTAGCCGAGCCGTGCCTGACCTCCATATCTTTGCTTGTTCCCCAAAGGCAGCACATGTAAGATATTTCCTGTCTTTCATGTTACTGACTGGAATGCATCATGAAGCCCAAATTTGCAACCTGCTGTCTGTTTTAGTCATTAGGCATGACTTTCTTTGTCTCCTGATGTGAGCTGAAGCCAACTGCTCACTGTTGTAATGCACAATTTTTTCAATATTCTCCCCCTCTCCTAGACAAACAAAACAAAAAAACCCAGCCAGGCCAAAAGCTGAAATTCAGTCATCAACTGAGGCTGCTGTGTCTTAAAGTATCTTATTCCCACATCAGCACATCCCACCCTGCTCTAGACCACCAAAACATTAGTCACAGCAGCCTCCACCTGTTATTCAGGGGCCAAAATTCAAAAGTTAATGAACAACAATTACAAGCAGCCCCTAGATTTCAAAAGAGCTTATCTGACAACCTGAAAGGTGGAGTTCACTGGCTGCAGCTTGGTGCTACATTCACTCATCTGTCAGTAACATCAAGCATTGGGATCTTTATATTATTTTTTACAATTACATCCACTCTGCAGAGATACACCATAAGATATTCAACTACTCTTTGCCAGCTGCTGCATCTTGGAATACTATTCACAAAACAAACAGTTACTCGGTATTTCAACATCTGACCATCTTAAAAATCAACTGAAGACAACTTAGAAGGACAATAAAATATACATAGCATGTAAAATGCAGGTCTGCTGTGTTTTGATGCCCACAAGTGGCACACGAGTACTGGTTATGACTTTGCTCCACTAATATGATATATATATATTTTCAATATATGTGTTTAAAATAAAAGAAACTCTTAAACCCCTGACTGTATTTATAATAAGCCTTCTGTATGAGAGAAAAGAACTAAAGGTGCACATGACAAACTGATACCTGACTTGAAAACCAGGTCGGCGAGAGGGATCTCAGCCTGACAAAAAGTGACCTGTGGGGCTGCTCTGCCACTCCAATAATGAAAGTTTATTCCACAAGGAGCAAAGAACTTGATTTCCTGCTTATTTTTGCCCTTTGTCCTCTGAGTCTCCTTCCAGTGCCATAAGCTGGGCCATCTGCTCTTCCCCTGCATGGGAACGCGTGGCTGGATCCCTGCAGTGGTCAGTGTGGAGCTGGAGCCACGGGCTGGCCCAGCAGCTCCTGTCAAACCCACGAGGTAACTGATGGTCTCTGATGGTGCTTCTGTCAGTGCAGCTACAACATGAATCCTTTCCTTCTGTCCAGCTCCCAGTGCTCCCAGACCTCACAGGCAATTAGGGTGATTAAGTCTCACCTCAATTGGAATGGCTGAGGCCTTCCCAAGGTTATGGTTGGCTGGGTTAGGAGCAGCCCATTGCTCTCACTCAGCACAAACACCCAAACTCTCCCAGCCAGCATGAACAAAGTTGCATGAACAATTCAGCAGCTACTTTGTAAATTATGAAGTTGATGTTTTCTTGTATAGCAATTTGGTATCAGTCACTGCAAGGAAGGGGAAAGAACTTAAAGGTCACCTCATCCGTTTATCTGCAAACACAGTTGTGTCATTAATCCACATCCCTCCTCTGAGTCAGGCTTTGTTGGTTTTAATGGTTTGGAATATCAAGACAGAAAACCAATAGACTACCTGCCAGTTTTCTAGTTTAGTTAAAAATGTTGGTCCTAAGGGAGAGAAAACACTGAATTTAGTTCTACAACAGCATGAGTTTCAGTCTTTCCCCTTTAGGAAAAGTTGCAGGATCCCAGACATGAGTCACCTCTTTGGAAGAAAAGGGTGGAATATTACAAATATTTTTGCCTAGGGGCTTCACCAAGAGGTGGGAGGATTAATGGAAAGTGTCTGGTCGTGCCATGCATCTCCCAGGCTCACCATTTCCAGCCTTGCCCATTTGTTTAGGAAGCTGTGAGTTCTGGTGGAATAGGAATGCTCAGGCAGTTTATACTGTTGTGTTCCCAGTTGCAAATAACACTGTGCAGTTCAGTTCAGCTGTAGACCATGGGCTGATAGCCTAAATTATTATGTTGGAAATTACTTTCCCTGTAGCTCAAAGTAATTAATTGACTCTCATTACCTGCTTTAGTTCTGGATTTTCTCATGAGTTTTAAACAGACCCTAAACAGATCATTTTGGGGAAGCTTTCATAGTGAGGATTATAAACATCTCTAAAGCAAGATCCTTGTTAGGAGGCATTTTCCTCTAGTTCAGTCTATTAAATATGTCTGAAAACAACCAACAGAACAGTAAGATCTTCTTGACTGACAAGCAGAAATTATTTACTTGCTTAATGGTTCATGGAAACTTGTGTTCCCAGCAGGCACAAGAGTTAATTATAAAGCCTTGTATCAGGTTAATAAAACCCAAAGAAACCCCACATCCTCAAAGCTTCAGACTATATGGCAAATGACTGTCATAGACAGAGATGTAAATACAAACCTATGTATTTTGAGGGAACTTGGAGCCAATCTTCTATAAATTGCCTAAATTACTCAGTGCCCACAGACCAAAGCCAACTGGTAAAAGAAAAAGTGCTCCTTGTTTTCATCATTGAAAGAAATGTGACTGGGCTGAGGGGAAAACAAGACTGGCACGTTAAATATCACTGTTAGGAAAAGGGCTACTGGTCTGATTCTAACTCCCATGGGATTCAGTCAACTGCCTGCAACCATGAGATTGGCACTGCCTAAATTCCCAGCTTTCCAGAAGGATGAAGCTCACTCCCTATTCATCTTTGCCACCATCTGAAGAATTAAGAGAGTGGCTGGTGATGAAGAGCCAATCAATCATGTTTATTGTGACAAGCATGGCTGTTATAAAACAGATACTCTTACAGCACAGGGGAACCTCCCCCACGCTTTTTCTTTCTTCATTAAACACTTGCTGAACATTCAGGTCCCCTGAGACATGTCTAGAGAAGTGCTGATCCCAGAAATAAACCCCTTTCAGGGACATGGAATGCAAGTTGCCTGTAACATGCCATTTGCAGGTATGGATCCATACGTACTGCTGTTCTCACAGCTGAAGTCATGCAGTTATTCCTTCAAGAAAGGCTTTGAGAAGTCTTCAGGAACACCCAGCTGTCTAGAAAAACAGCTAACAGAGATATTTACCTTTGATTTAGTCAATATTTGGTTCATCTGAATATTTGCTCTTTATGGTGGAATGGCTGAGGACAGGGAGGAATTAGGAAATTTCTGGAGCAAGGTCAGCTCAGGCACAGTCAGTATGAAATGACTGTCAAAGATAACATTCAAAGTTTTCAAGGGGACTAAGGAAAGACTGTGGAAGGAAGGAATGTGGGCTGAAAAAAATGGGAAGGTTTCAAACCAGGGAGTTTGAACTGACACACAAACTCTTGTCCTGGAAACAATGAAGTCTCTAGGCAAGACAACCAAAGAAAATGAGTCTCTAAACGTTAAAGTCAAATTATTCTCCCTTGCATGGAGAAAGAGAATCAGAGGCCGAGAGTAAATACTTGAGTCATCTGATCCACATGCTATAGCCACAACTCATTAGGTATCTGCTAATTACAGCTTTGAAAGATGCCATGGAGTGACACAAGGCAGCCCTAGATGTATTTAGTTAGTTTTACAACTGAGGAGCCTAACAAACCCTTGGGTTCTTTCCTACAGTCAACAGCTTCAACAAAGAGCCTCTACATTAATTGCAACCACATCTTGTCTATTTTTATATATGAGAAACGCTACAATCCTTTACAAAAGCCATAAAACAGCCATTATCATTTAGGGATGCTATTAATCAAGGCATTCTCGAGTGTTTCCCTTCTCAGCTCCTTGCCTAGATTGCAGCCCAACTGCTCGTTGGTGTTTAACTAGAAGCAGTGTGGCCATGGGCAGCCCCTGCAGAGAGCTCAGCATTTTGATTTTCTTGCAGGAAACATGGAGCTGTGATCCCTCCTGCAAATGGGAGACCCTCAAGTGTCTGGGGGCAATCCCAGCACTGGGAATGTCAAAAAGGATTGAAAATACCTACTTCATTCTGAAAGTATCCTTCATATTGTTGCTTCTCTCCTCCACTCCTGGAAAACCAGTGCAACAAGAAGAAAAGAAGCTGAATTCTCTTTGCACTACCCCAAACAGGTTATTTCTGGGATCCTGGAATACTTAACTGAAGATTAAGAAAAGCTTTCTAACATGAAGGGCAAGTGGTTGCCTAATGAAGCTGAAGGGTTGTCATTATTGGAGATATTTAAGGACAGTTCAGACAAGCCTCTGTTAGCAACATTAGTGTAAATATTCTTCTTTGGGGCAGGAGTATGGATTAAATGATATCCTATGATCCTTTCTGACTGCCTGACTCTACAACTCACCAGCCTACCCACCCTGCCTCTTAACAGTTTTCTGCATCATTTTTAAACTTGCAACCCCTGAAGAAGACTGAAATCTCAGTTACTTAGTAACAAAAAATGAAAAATAAAACCCCTCTAAAATAAATGGGAATGTTATCTGATAGAGAAGTAAAAAATGAGGCCGAAGAAACACATGATGAAAGAAGATACCAGAAGCACAGCAGTATAAATTAGGAGCCACAATGGTGATATAAATCCTGGGAGCAGGTTGGCAGAAACCTGACATTTTTCATTTCTCCACAAAGCCATTATGCACATCTACTGAACTAGAGAATTAGGACTAGTTCTGCCAGTTTGAGTCATGGCCAATTTAGGGGAGTTGCAAAGCTGCCCTGTCTTTGGGTTCACATTAGACACCTTCACTCTCCAGCAGCTTATTTAGTGCTGCAGTAGGTTGGCTTTGAAGCATCACTCTGAAACATTTCTCAAGGTGTTAGAGGATAACTCTGGAGTGAGTTATCTTCTTCTTTCCTCTGTGACAAATAAAATAGGAACTGCTTAGGTCAGACTAGTGCACTGCTTAAAGCTCCTGGTTTGAGATGAGCTTCTGAGCCTTGACACCAGCAGCCCAGGGCCAGGGCACCAGTTACCACAAACACAGAGCCAAAAGGGACCTCGGTCAGTCCTTCCCCCTGCCCAAAAGATCCAGCACACAGGAAGAGGAGGGCTGAGCGGGGCCAGCCAGCAATAGCTTGGTTCTTCCATGTGGTTTTATGGGGCAGTTAACTTTTATTGCCTGGTAATTACTGAGGAAGGCTTAGACAAGCTGGCTCTCCAGCCCACATGGCAGCAGGCTTGTGTGGGCACAGCTCGCAAAACTCAGCTGCAACACTAATGTTTCAGAGGGGAAAGCCAGTCCATTAGCAAAGCCAAGTTCAAGAATACAGTTTATCCATACTTTGGTACTACCAGTAAAGGATATACCAACTCTCAAGTTGAAATAAAAAATAAACGACTTGCAAAAAGAAGCCAAAGAACAGGAAGAAGGGACAAGGTATGAGTTGCAAAGAAAAAGTACAAAATAGCACCACCACTGAAGCTGGTACAACAAGGAGTGAAGAAGAGGAAAGAGAAGGCCTTAGAAGAGGATAAAAAGCATAAATACTGAACATACTCATTTTTCAAAGGAGAAGCAGCATAACCCAGGGGTACAACTGCTGTTGTTTAAAGCATTGGGAGTTATTCCCAAGGCAGTCATTTGATATTTCCTCCTTCTTTACTGTTCCCTACTATGGTACTATCTCTTCACATCCTCAGTGTGTGTGAGCAGAACACACCAGTACTTGTAAGATCAGTTCTTCTCTGTAGAGGCACTGAATGTTTTTGAAACCATGGTGACCTAATGCCAGTTAACTAGTTTTGAGTCTCTATACCTGTTTTAAACTTTACTTAAATCTTAAAGCTAAAAGGATATCAAACAATCCTAAACCATGTGATAAACATATGCCAAAGTCATATAATTTCCAATCTCTTCTGTTCATTCTTTGCAATAAAAAGGAAAAATTACAGTTGATTTACTGTGCACTCAAACTTTGGGAGAATCCAGGAACATGTGGGATCAGTTTAGGTCAGGATCAAAACCCCATAATTTAGCTGAGAGCAGCTTCCAAACTAAGCTCATATTTTTTCAGACTATATTTATAGTGCAGTTACTATGTGCCAGTACATCATTAAATGTCCTAAAAACTAAACCCACCCTATTCTTTATGGGGAGGGTTTTTTTCCCCTTAAGTCAGAAATACCCATTCCAGGATAATTCTGGACAGGGAGAGAGAGGACTGACTCGGATTTCCACCACTCCATTTGTGATACAAAGCTGTCTCTCGTGGGCTGCTCTGTGTGTCTGACACAGATAATGATGCAATTCTCAAACATTCTGGTTTCTGTGCTGTGTGTTCAACCACATGGTTCTGTTTCAAAGCCTGATTATTTCCGATCCCGCTGCATTAAAGCTGCAAACTGAGAAGAGTATTGTGCAGAAGACAAATTGGACAGGCATCAGAGGCCTTAGTTTAACATACTTACCGGGGGAGTGGTGTTTTTGATGAGTGTTCAGAGCTGAAAACTTCTCCTTATCACACAGAAGTTGGTGTCTGCAGGGGGAGGCCAGGGGAGAGCGGTGCTGCCTGGAAAAGCAGCCAGCTGAGCCGGTATCTCTCCCGAACAACAGCGGGACATGCTGAGCTCAGGAAGCTGGGGAAGAATGAGTGAAATCATGTCACTGACTAAATCAAGAGTCTACAGCTGTTGCAACATCCACAGACTTATTCCAAACACAAAACATGAGCTGAAAATGAGCTATTTCAAGACTATTTTTCTCCCCCCCTCGCCTTTTACCACTTGAATGTGTGCAGAAGGCATAGTCTGATTATTAAATGTTTTTCTAACAAGAAAATAACAGACACAGAAATAAATACCCTGGGATTTAGGGAGCCAGTGCACACAGAGCGGCAGGAAACACTGCCAGGTTACTATAAGCATTCATGAAATGGTCTCTAATGTCTGAGTGGAAAGCACTGCAACGTTCAGTGGGATGGACTGAAAGGCAGCCAACATGGCAAACAGCTCGGGTGCTTCCACACCAATAATTACCTTTATCAAACTTTAACTAGTGATGCCAAAACATCTTCAGCTTCCAGCCACGAAAGGGGCAACAAACATGCAAGTTTGCTACTTCATAGTAACATATGTTTGGTCTCAGGAGGTTAAACACTCATCTGTTTCTGAACTGTGTTAAAAATTTTAAAAAAACAAACCCACAAACTTTTTGTCCCTGCCCATGCTGCAGAAACATGTCAGCCTGCACACAAATTATGGCTTTGCAGGACTTGTTATCTCTGATATTTCTCATGACATAATAGCCCCGGTGTGTAGGCCTGCAAGGTAAAACAGAGTTTTAAACATGTATAACAAAACTGAGCCTTCAATCAACGTGGGTTTGTTGACAGGAGGAAAAAGGCCTGGACACACAGACAACATTTGGGCTGAAGAGAAGTTCAGATTGCTGTGACACAGACAGCAAAGGGACAGAAATCTTGTGTCCCAGAAACAAAGATAAACAAGGACTAGATTTTTAACTCCACTTTCAAACTCTGACTTTGGATCCATAAAAACAATTACAGTGTAAATTATTCTGTGAAGACAGACAAACCTGAAGTGAAGAACAATCCTCTCACCTGATATAGATTAAAAGAAGGGGCTGTACAACCCTTCTGATAGCCCACCACACCCTTAGTGACTTCATGGCACCAGCAGGTACTTTTGTCAGTGTGGCTTTTCAACCTCAGCATTGAGAAACCCAGCACATTAAATAAGCTAAATCTGCCAGTGATCCTATAGCACCTTTTTTGTTCCTCTTTATTAAAGCAGTCAGAAAGGCAAAAAAATCAAAACCAAACCCACAAATCTACCATTTCACTACAGAGCCATAATGTATTAAATCATCGATATGAGTCAACAACATCATGCTGCTGGGAAAAAATGGGAAACCATCCTGGGAAAAATAAACAAGTGTCATCTGTAAAACACATGGTGCAACACTCCCACTTGGCTCGGTGGTGGGAAGCAGGCAGCTCAGCTGTGGGCACCACCATCCCAGGAGGATGTGGACACAACAGGAAAAACCTGGAGAACAGGAACGAGGACACTGAGGGGTGTGGGGAAGGAGGTTATTAGAACAGGCTGAAGGTTTAGGGCTGTTTGTTGGAGGGGCAGAGCCCTCTTTGTGGTGGTCTCTGGACACGTGAGGAGCGGTTTGGGAGGAAGGGAAGAGTTCCCTCTGTGCCCCCAGGCCCTTGGACAGCATTAAGGTCACTGAGGAGCAGGAGTGTCAGAGACAAGACCAAGACAAGTACCCCTGCCATGACTTTTAGTGTACCAGGGATTATAAATTTGTGCAATATGATTTGGCTGCTTTCTGACAAGTTCCCCCTGACCTTGCTGGCTGGTGCATTCCCTGTACACACACACAACTGTTTGCTCTAAGCTGCCTCAGCCCACTGCCAAAGCAAGAGTGCTCAGCACTTCCTTCTGGTGCCCACCTGGCCCTTGGTTTCCAGCTGCTCCGCTTTGATCTCCCTCCCTTCTGTGTTTCCTGGGAATGCCTCATTAGTGGTTGGCCTGTCTTTCTCCTGAGCCTTTTCCCCTGGGAAATGTGCTGGGTTCCCTTGGCTGACTCACAAACACTTCACCAGGAGCAGCTAAAGAAACAGGAGCAACCTGGTAGTTTCCACAACCTGACCAGGTTTCACAAAAGATGTGCTGAAAATTAAACAAACAATTCAGTTAAAATAAGTGGGCGGAACTGAAAGGACTTTCTTTGTGCTTAGAAGCATAGCAGTGCTATTTTTAAAGAATTATTTCTTCAGTTTAATTTTTTTAAATAACAACATTGCATTCAAACGTTACTGTACAAAGTTAAAATGCTTCCAAGCACCAGTATTCAATTGAGGCACCACCATTCCCATCTGAAATTTTAGGGAAAGAGAGGGAGTGGGGAGGGAGAGAAAGAGAAAAATCTTTTTCAGAATTGTGTGTTGATAAACCTAAAAATAGAAACATTTTCCAAGCAAATTTTCTACGTGCGAGTATTCCAGTTTCCCAGCAACTCTGTTAGTGACATAATGTTGACTTGGTGGGAAAGCAGCTCTGGACAAGAAACTAAGAGCTTTCTTGGAGTCTATTCATAACCCTGCATTTGCATTTGATAAATTGCTTCTTTGTTACAGCAATTCCCCTTTAATGTGATGATTGATTATTCTTGTTTTACACAAAAAATATTTGGTTTAAAATGCTAACCTTTCAGCATTTTCTGTACCATTAGGTCAGAAGTTCTGTCAAAATGTTCCAAAACTTCCAAGAAGTTGTTTAGGTATTTTCCTCCCATCTTACACAGGCTAAGTTTCTCTATATATTATATAAAACTGGCACTAACTTTTATAGCCTGGTTTTAATAGGTTTAAAACAAAATGTTTAATTATCTAGACCGTTATTTAAAGCCAAAAGAAAGTGAGTTATAACACTGTTGTAGCCATAACAAGAAATAAAAAATTTTGTCTGGTGTTTTCAATTTATATTCCAAATATTTGTCAATTCCCAAAACTGCATTCACAATTTCTTGAAAGAAAGGCACAGGATCCAAGTTTCTTCTAATTTATGCAGTCGTAATTTTTTTTGACATAATGGAGTTATTCATTCAGCGTGAGCAGGACCACACTCTGAGCAAGCTGGACCTTAAAAATACATATTTCAACCAAGCTGATGCCAAGGGGAGTGCTTCCTTAGGACTCTTTAGCAGAAATTCATCCAGGCAATTCCTCTGCCACAGCTTCATCAGCCTTCTTGGGACAGCAGTGTGAGACTTCTCCAGGTCATTTCGAGCTACCCCAGCAAGTGAGGGGAGCAATGAGGCAGAGATTTAGTTCCTGCCACCACTCAAAAAAGAAGGTTTTATCATTGTACTTCTGGTGAGGGGCACAACACAGCCCAGTCCTGAGGTATTTAATAAAGAGTGGCCTCCTGTCACCTCCTTTCCAGGCCCATCCAAGCAATGCCTTGGGAACTGGGCACACAGCAACGAGCATCCACCTGCGGCTTGAGAAACACCCAGCCCACACATGCTCTGCTCCTCTGCATTCTCTGCTACTTCAAATTCAGCTTTTCCCCAAGCACTCTGTAAAATTTTTCTCCACTTAACCTCAAATTGCCTTTCTTCCCTGCTCACAACTGGAGTTGAAATGAAAAAAATAAGCTTGGCTTGTCTTGGAGCGTCAAGAAATAAAACCAGCTTTGAAACAACTGCAGAACAGCAGAAGTGGGTTTCAGTGGGACTTCTAATGTGCTGTGAATTACACTCGTGCTTAATTAGATTACCTTGCTGACTCAGAGCCTAAATTAATGGGAGATACACTCTGCAGTGTTTATTTGGCTTGGGTAATTAAAGAAAGTAACAAAGTGAGGTTTTAGATCTAATGTAAATGGAAGTTTCAGTAATTAAGTATTTCTTCATTCCAGCACCTGGCATAGCTGTTTGGGATAGAGCAAATGTAGGAATAGGTGAACAAAATTCTTCAGCTGCTTCCTCTGCTACAGAAACCAAATGGGGGAATTCTTAAGAACCAATCCTGCCTCATCCTGATCCATCTGTAAATATTTTCTTTCAAGCCAATAAACGCTTTTTTAGTCTCCTTTGTACCCCCTGGTTCTGGGTTCCATTTGAAGCCAACAAGTGGGAGCACGAGCTACTTACTTATTTACTTTAAGCCTGGAAAAATGGGAGAGACTTTGAAAAGGCTGGTTTCTTCTTGAGAAGGGGATGAAGTTTCACACTGGCTCTTATTGAAACCAGTTCCCATATCCCAGGCCCTTCCTCTCACTACCCCATCTCTCCCCCACCCGCATAATTTGCCCATTTGTGCATCAAATCTGGTACAATAAATCCGACTCCCTAAAGACCGAGAACCCATTTCCACTCCGTTGCACAAGGGCAGCTCCACCCGGGGCTGTGAAAAGGCACTAGGGCAGTGGAGGGTATGCTTTGCAGTATTAACTTCAATTAAACTGGGATTGAAACTAAAGCCCCCCGAACAGAGTTTCTTTTTGCAGCACCAATAAAATCTGCATTCTTGGCAGCAGGGCCCAAAATCTGGCTGGTGCACTGAAAGCAGAAACCCTTCCCCTGGCTGGGGTCACCCCTTTCCTTCCTGGGGCTGCCAAGAACCACAGGTCCCTGCTGGAGGGGAACACCCATCAGAGTCTCTCCTGGTTTAGGGATACCAATTCATCAGCCTCTGTCCTCAGCTGATGGCAAAAAAAAAAATGTATCTGGACAGAAATGAGTGAATGGGGAAAAAAATACTGGTAAAGTCATGAATTTTTCAAGGTTTTTCTTTTGATGTACAAGCTTAAGTCTCCAAGAAACCTTTCTGCAAGTTTAGATGAAACTGCAAATGTGATAAACTAAGCTCTGTGCTTTGCTGGAATAACCCAAATCTATGGACCACACTCACTTTTACTGAAGGAGACTGAGTCAGTTCAGTAGGTTTCTATACCAAGTGGTTATTAATGTTTCTTTGTTGTCACCTGGATTTATCATCCACTGCATCCACGTAATTCTGAAAATCCATCTTTGTGCAATGGCATCTGGTACATTATTTCTAGTGAGACACCACTGAGTCTCCCCATAAAGACCAGCTCCATAAAGCAGCCTCTGGTCTCCCACAGGACACAAAGAGGAATGAAAGACCATTCAAAGGGAATCTTGAAACTCTACAGCAGCGAGTCATACAGGGGAAAAGCAAGTGATGATTTGAAGAGCCTCTCAAGTTTCCTGCAGCATGGCATCAGCCATCCTGCTGGGAGCTCCTCGTCCCCCCAGATGCCCCATTACTCACGGTGCTATATTGTTATGGTCTTCCACAAGCAGCGCTGGCAATGTCAGTAAATAAACTATGGAAGCCAAAATTAGTTTTCCTTCAAGATCTAGGAGGAGAAACATTGCCACCGAGGGATTGGTGTCTATTGTACCTCGCCTTTACAAGGATTTCATTGGGAAAAACACACATGTTGAAGAGAAAGGTAAAAACACAAAAAGGGGACTCCAGGGCTGTTTTATCTGGATTGCTATTCCTGGTATTCTGCTGTCAAGCCTCTCATCACTATCTGGAAACTTTCTGGAATTAATAGAGTGATATAACACCTTCTGGTAAACTTGAAATCTCTTCAGTCTGCAAACAATTCTTAAGGGCCATGCCTGCCCTGTTGCTTCCTATCCCAAGGAAAACTTACTGAATACCTGGCCTTTCAATCACACTGATATCCCACGAGTCCAAAGCCCTGTCCTGGATTAGCCCTTAGTCTCCCAAACTAGCAAGTGAATCCACTCAGCTCCAGGATAAACCCCTTTGTTCAAGTAACATAACCAGGTTGGCAATCACCTTCCTAAATGACAAATGCCTTGTCTTTTCCTTAAAGGAAACACAACTTTTGTGTTATACACAGGAAAAGTGCAAAACCGGTTACATCAATGGATTTTATTCCCAGACCTGTCAATCCTCCTCTCCAAGAATACTAAACTCGACTACTTGCTATGAGTTTTACAAATTAGCATGGGTCACTGATCTGCCAAAGCCTTAATAAACTCCATTTATATGCATTATAAAATTCTTTCAGTCTTGTGGAAAAAATTACTTCTCCTGAAAAAAAAAGGAAGGAAGAAAAAAAAAAAAGAAAATCTGTAAAATCCAACCTTTTTGTGAATTGTGCTTGCCAGCTGCATGAGAACCCACCAAGGATATTACTCTAACCACAAAAGTCATGCTTTTGGAGATCAACCTCCTAGCAAAACTCAAATAAGAAAAATAAATCACTCCATCCCAAGTAGAAGTTGTAGATTTTGCTTTGAAAGCCATTCCCCTGATCTGCCATGCTCATTTCTCTAAATAAGCTCCAGTCTGAATTCAGCTTTCTTGCAAGTCAAGGAGAAAAATGGCACAGTCACCCAGATAAACATTCCCCAAAGGCTCCCTTGTTGTGTGCAAGAGCATTAATAACGAGTTATCTCTACTAGAAGCATTTCAACATAACACACCCTAGTGTCTTACTGGTGGGTTTTGATTTGCTTTGTTTTTATAGCCACATAACTCTCTGCATCATCTGACTGTGTGGGTCAATCCCATGCAGAAAAAAAAAAGAGAAATAATCTACTTCTCCAGTGTTACAGCACATGCAGTACAGTGGAGGGTTAATTAACTCCCACCTCCCCCTGCTTCCCTTGGAAAATGATTATGCTGGCTAATAAACCTCACAGTTATGAGGCTTTTATGAACTTACACACTCTGTAGTAATTTCAAGTGCATGGGAGGTTTGCTCAGCTGCTTGAACACTTCTCACCTCAATCACCCTTTCTGCCTGTGAACTCAGGCCCCAGCAAAGCTTTGCATCACTGCAAAGTAACTGTGTGATTGAAAGGGAAGGAGATTCCTGCACATTCATTCCTTCCATGACTAACTGGAGAGTTTGGAGATATTTTTCCTTTACTGCTAAATGAAGCTCTGCTGCCAGAGGCTGAGAGCTGAAGAGTTGGGTGTTTGACATACCCTGGATTTATTATCTGATCTCCAGGTGAGCCACTTAAACCTCTGATTTCATTTTACCAACTGTGAAACAGAAGTAACAATCACCACTTACCTTGAGGTGCCTTCAGCATTCCAGTGGAAATGCCATCTCAAGGCATGGCAAGTATTGGCTGAATCTGTTGAACTGTAGGATCAAGTTCTTTTTCCCAGCTTCCCACAGAAATTCTTGCCCTTAGGAAAGCAAAGAATGCAGAGAATGTGTCTCTTAACGTGAATGTGGAGGTTCCACATGAACAACCTTGGTGCTACACTGCCTGGAGCAGCTTGGAGCAACCATCCCCTTTCTCCAGGAATACCAATTTTTACATAAGACACTACAGTTGCACAAGAAGCAAAGGGGTTTTCTTCTTGCCAGCTGTAAAGAACCCACTCAGTGCTACAGGGTAAATAAAAGAAATCAGTGAAGGAAGCAGGACACACTGTTTCTCTCTCGACACCAGATTTCTGTTGCACACCACAAAACACTCTGAGAGAGACTCTCTCAGGAACATCCCACCATCCAACTGGTCCCTAAACTAACGTCCATGAAGAGTTTGCTTGTACATGACTGACTCAACATGCTGACAACTTTATTTCTTCTCATTAAAATACTTATAAGATAAACAAACTACATGTATTATTTTCCAAAACATTGCAAATAAACACTGCACCAATTTCAGCAGGAATCTTGTAGAATAGTAAAAAAGTGAAAAAGTTTGAATAAATATTTCTAAATAAAAACAGAACTGATCCATACAACAGCTTCTCCATCTGCAAATTCCTGAGAAAACTGATTGAGACCATGGGTGCCCCAAGAACAAGTGAGGGCTGCAAGGCATCATCCTGTGATTTTTCTGACTCTGGGGAAAGCAGATGCCAGAAACATTCTGTACTGCAGCTAAAACTGGCAGGAAAAGGAAAGCCAAACTGCTTTCCTTGATTTTAATGAATGAAATAATGACTATTTTTTTCTTTCTGAAAGGAATTAAAGGAGGTTGAAAAAACAGAGGAAAGGATAAAACTTGCAATTTTTGATTTGGGAGATGTGCTTTCATGGTGGCCCACGACCTCAAAAAGGGAGAGAAAAATAGCATTTTTACCAACAAAATGATTTTTTTCTTAACTATCCCATACTTTGGCAAAATGTTTTAAGAGATTCTAAGTCATTGCAAACCCCAGTCACAGAAGGAAGCTTTGCACATCCATGTTCCAGTGCACACAAAAATTATACTGCACCCCTCAATATATTCTCAGAGTACTCGGAAACAATGCATTAAATGTAACTGTGGCTGCACGTTGGCTCTTTCTTCCTGTTCTCAGAGGTGGAAGACTTATGAAGCGGTGTCTTTCATCTTCACAAGTTTGTAGGAGACTTTTTTATTTAGAATACACATTGCAGGGTTTGCTGAGGGGAAAGTCAACAAAGTGTGCCCAGCAGCTGGAACATGGAGCAGAGAAACGAATTCCTGTTGGGGCCGAGTCTACAGCTTCAGATTAGGCACCAGGAGAGCCCAGTGTTCAGACACAGGAGCTTTGTTCTCATCCCAGAAAATCCCATGGCACTCTGGGAAGCTCCCACTCTCAGAGGGCTCATTACAGAGTTCTTAGTTTTGTTTGGGGGTTCTTTTAGAGCTGGGAAATTCCCAATGACCTGAAGTGCTCCAGCACTCCTGTCTCAGTGCTGAACTGCGCTGTCTCCCACTGCTCAAGAGTCCAGGCTGCCGTGATTTACACAACTTTATTTACAGTGCACATCAGACAACAGTTTGTGTTGATAATGATCCCTATAAAAGCTTTTTATATGCACACAAAATAGATTAAGTCCCCACACTGTGGGTTGCCTTGAACATTTCCTGACCTATAGCTACACTTCTTTGGCCTGGTGAAGAGCAAGTCAGCACAACATAGAGGGGTCTCCCTCAAGGACAGACGAGTCCTTACTTATATCCTGCAAAATTAGTACCTTTGGGAGAAAGGATACTACAGACAAAGTTCACATACCCACTCCAGCAGGTCAGTGTTGGGTCACAAGCTGGTATTCCTGCCCCCAGCTCTGCAGTCTCTCCTCTTTCTGCTTCCTAAGTGGTTTTCCATTAGAGCAAGAGTTTATCACATCAGCTTGAAACAGTACAGCGGGTGAAAATCATCCCTTTAATTAGGGCACAGAAAATTTGTATCAGACTGTTCAGAAACTTCCACCATGAGAAACAGTTTAATTTACTGCTCTCAAGTGTGACTAAAATTGGAGGATCTGACCTAAAAAAATGATTATGTATTCTTCATGCTACACAAGCATGGCTGAATTTGCTTTATCTGACAACTTAGAGAAACACAAGGATGACAACATTCTCTTCTTCACATGGAAAGATGCCATCCTCAAACCAGACTAGCTCTGTGTCCTCAGCCCTGCAGATCTCCAGTCCATGACTGGGATTCAGTCCTGATCAAGCAGTAAACTTAAGCAAACCTGCAACCTTGGGAGGTAAGTCCATGAGGACAGTCCAGCCTCTTCCACACAAGATGTCTCTTCTCCAGCTCCTCGCCTCATTTGAAGCCCAACCTGAACATCAGATGAAGGCTAAGCTTTCAGAGCCAGGAGGAAGCAATTAAAAGATATATCTAGTACCTGAACGCTTCCAGAGGGAAAAAGGAAGGGTCTGTAGCAATCCCTCACCTCTTTAAGAAGGGGGATGCAGGCTTTGCCCAATAATAAAAGTTTAATGGCAGTTATTTTATGTGCTGTCAGAGTGATCCCCACATGGATCCTCTGCTGGACTGAAATTCAAGACATTCAGATGCACAACGCTGACCTGCAAGGCACAAGTCAAAATCAAACTCGCTATCAGGTTTTTATAAGGGTTATGTAGCAGAGCAATGTACAGGATGCAAACTTTTCAGAGAGGCAGGGAAGTTCTGGAAACCAAAAGCTCCTTGTGACAGCAGATGGGATCAACTTACAACATTACAGATCTCACAGTCAGCAGGGCTTGCGTGTGCCCTACAAGAGATTTAAAAGCAGATTTCAGTGGTTGCTACTGTACCAGCATGACACAAACACACCAAAGCAGAGCTGGGTGTCCCCAGAACAGCATCCCTGGAGATCAGAGGATGCCAGGGAACGTGCTGCTCCTGCAGAATCCCAGCACAGGGCGTGCCAGGGACAGACAGTGTGTGGGAAGCAATGCCTGCAGCAAAGGGGCTTCCAACCAGAGCACCTTGGCTGGGCTGCAACAGGGTAATTTGGTACTTTCCCACACAGTCAGCCAGCTCTCCTGGCCAGCAGGAGAGAGATGCAGCAGAAACATCTTTCTTTCAAAGGATTACTCCTGGCTCTGGAGGGGTTTGTAATTTCTGGCAGCCTTGGGATGGGCTGCGCAAAGGGAAAAGGAACCTCTTTGCTCCCTCTCCCACACTGTGTCCACCCAAGGCCCAGCCTTAACGTAGCTCTTAATAAAATAGCACAGATGTGCCCTGTAGGCACATAAAGACTAAGAGAAACAACAAAAAAGAGAAACAAGATGTTCCTGTGTGTTTCATAAATCGGTATATAAGCATAATGCAACCTACTATCCTAGATAGAAAATGAAATATCTCAAAAAGTATTGAATCCTTGGTGGATTTTCTCAGTGGATCGGCATGAAGCTATTTAGCCCAGATGTTTCCATAACTCTGATGCATTAGGAGCTGCACAGCATTGTGGCCAAGTGCTAACATAGTGAACTGTAATGTAAAACATGTAAAGATCCTGGCTTCCAGAGTGATTGGAAGTTTTCACTCTAACCACTCTGCTTCCTCATGCAGCTATATTTTCTTTACAATACCCACTTGTATTTCAAGGCACATGGAAGAAGAACTAAAACCTTCCCCTCTCCCCAATTAAAACCTAATTCTCTGGAAGAAAACACAAGGGCCAACTCAGAATTGACGTGGAGTTTTTCAGAAATGGAAATCTCACCTCTGAGCAGCAAATCTCATACTACAGGCAAGTGCAGGGCCAACAAGGCACAGCTGGGCACCACATGAGCAGGTGAAGAAGTGATGGTGAGATTTTTGATGACAACTTGGTGTCCAAAAGACAGAGTGTCTCACTGAGAGGCTCTGGTTTGCATCTGTAATGGATTTAGGGATTTGTAGAGGTAGTTTTAAAGATATCTAAGCAGGTGCAATGTGTATGTTGGAATGGCCTGACCAAGGGAAGAAGCAATAATGGGAATACGAAGCAGCACAAAAAAAAGTAACAGCATGTGCACAGAACAATATAAGATAAAGAGTGCAAAGAAATAAACTGGAAGTCTCTATAGGAGCATAATGCAATAGAATACCTTGCAGTGAGAGTCCATTTGGAAAAATCTGTCACTATAATTAATTATTCAGAAGAGTTTAAAATATTTCAGTGATTTCTACATGACCTACCTGCCAGGATGAGAGCTGAGAGTTTTGTGATTCTTTGAGACCTCAACAGCTTAAAAAGACAAAACACAACCCTAAATTAATGAAAATTAACTCCTGCTACAGCTCTGAACCTGCAGTCACAACTCTGTGTTCATGTACACACTTGTAACACCCCAGACCCAGAGCCACAATCTCAGGGGCTCAGCCAGGAGTTTTACTTTAAAATAGATATATATATATGGGGTGCTTTAATACCTCAAGATAGTGCCAAGAGAATAAGCCACACCACTTGTTCCCAAGAAGCACCTGTACTGATAATTTAGGGGAGAAAAAAAGGGAACCTGGCAAAAGTTCCAAAGGGCACCACAAAATCCAGACAAAACATTCCACCACAGTACGGACCCAGCACATACTAATCCACAACCCTTAAATCAAAATCCAATCCCCCCAGCTTTAAGCTACCCCAAGCACCAAGAAAGGAGCAAGGAAAGAGAAGAAGAGGGAGCACGAAGAGAGAAGGAGGAGAAAGAGAGGGAGACAGACTACACAGTTACCATCAGATCCCTGTGGTAGAGCAGCTCTCAGGTGTCCGGATGGGAGGGCCCGGCCCTGTGGGGAGCACAGCCTTGGCTTTGATCTGCTCTGGGCCCTGGGGCCTCCCCAAGGCAGGGCCTCGGAGCCACTGGTCACTCTGGGGCTCCAGGGCAGGGTGAGGGGCCTGTTCCCCTGTCCCTGCCAGGCTGGGCTGGGTTAGGAGTTCCAGGAGCTCTGGGGTGTTCCAGTGTGGGCACTGTTCCCTTTGTCCCTGCCAGGCTGGGCTGGTGAGGGGCTCCAGGAGCTGTGGGGT